AGAGAGAGAGAGAGAGAGAGAGAGAATGAATTTTTTTAATATTTATTTTTTAGTTTTCGGTGGACACAACATCTTTGTATGTGGCGCTGAGGATCAAACCCGGGCCGCATGCATGCCAGGCAAGCGCACTACTGCTTGAGCCACATCCCCAGCCCAATGCTTTATTTTTTAATAGGAAGATATTACTTTAATGAAAACCTGAACATTAGACCAAGCATTTCTGAAACAGCTATAGTGGATTAGGTAGAAGGGAGTGAAAGGAGGGGAACAGGTATGGGGTAGGGAGGATAGTACAATGAATCAGACATTATTACCCTTTGTACATATATAAGTATATGATTAGTGGGATTCTACATCATGTACAACCAGAAGAATTTCTATGTATTATGTATCATGCACTCTACTGTCATGTATAACTAATTAGAACAAATTAAAAAAAGAAAGAAAATAAAGCAAGGCAAAAAAAAGAAAGAAATACTTTATTACATTTCCTCTCATTTAAATGTTAGACTGCCTTCCAATTCCTCAAGGAAAAATAGTGTGTATTCTTTTCCACACCTACGTTTGCTTTTTCACAGAATTCAATCAGTATAAAACACTTCAGCTGACTTTTCAGAAAGATTCAAATGATTTGTTGTGAAACAATTTAGAAAATGATATTTACTGCTGCACTGCTGTATGACAGAACATATTTGATTATAAGTTCTAGGGTACCTGTTTGGTTGATTCCGAGGTAAAGTTTGGATGGGTCAGAAGAACATCCATGTCACCACTAGATTCTGCACCTACAGTAACAAGGAATATGGAAGGTATTCTCCATGTAAATCTATCAATTAGGCCAATGAAGAACAAAACTAATGACATACATAGAAGAGCCTTACTTCTTATAGCCTATTATTCTATTTCACTGTGCTTCATATTCAGAATTAGTTAAAAGATTTCAATTTTCTGTCCAATAATTCAGGTTTATTGATAGAGACAGCAGAATCTGGGATAACAACAGTAATTGGCATTAGATACATATTGCATACAACTTGTATATTTAATGTGCTAATAATGCACTTAACCACTCAACAATAAAGACAATTTTTGAAAATGGCTTTGGAATACATCTATGAACAACTAAATATCTAAAAATCTCAAACAATATGCTCTCTTTAAAAGGTAATTTATTTTAATTCTTATGACTGAAGTCATTTAATAAATATTGGTAAAAAATTATTATTATAGTATCATGGATAAGAACACAGCACTTTATAATGACTCAGGTTTTGATATTTATAACCATATAACTTCAGGCAAGTTACACATAGCTGTTTGAACCTTACTTTGAACTATGAAATTTTGACTCTAATTAGATGTTTTTCACTTTTAGTACTGCAAATGAGGACTCTTACATTTCTCTAAACCTCAGTTTCCTTGTTTGTAAACTACTAAAAACTATTTCATAGGCTACTGTGCAACTAGATAAGCACTAAAGCATCTACTATTGTGCCTCATTCGGCATAAAATAATCCTATCTCCTCTCTTTTCATTTTGATAAGTATAGTACATGCAAAACTTTAGGTGACCATGCAGATCATCATCCTATGTATCAATCTTTAACCAGATACAGTAGTCCCCTTTTCTGCAGAGGATTTTAAGGCCCTCCCTCAGTGGATGCCTGAAACCACAGATAGGACCAAACCCTATAATTTAATACCTTTTCTATATTAACTCAGTACCTATTACACACCATGGCCATAATTTTTGCAGTTTGAGATGTGACACCAAAACTAGCATAAATTTCATTTTCCTTCTTCATAATTTCATGGGTAGAAGATGTGTTCGTAATGTAGACCTTAATAAGCTAAGCATACAAGTTTTTTCTTTTCCTTATTAAGTCATGAACTTTCCCAATTTCACTTAAAGGACATACTTTATAGATGTTCTTTGGCAGATTTGAATTATCAGCATCACACTCTTATGCTTTGAGGCCCTTATTCAGTAAAATAAGACCCTGTGATATTTCAACAGTCAATCTGAGATCAGAGAGCCAAGATGGCTAAGTGATGAAGTGCAGGACAGGTAGAATAAACTGTGGCTATACTGGACAAAGGGATGATTTACATCCCAGGCAGGATGGAGGGAGATTTCTTCTTGGTACTCATAATAACTTAAAACTACAAATTGTTTATTTCTGGAATTTTCCATTTAGTAGTTTCAGACTGTGGTTGTCCTGAGTTACTGAACCCTCAGAAGGCAAAACTATGGATAAGTGGGGAATTCTTGTATTTACATATAAAAAAGACAAGGTAAAATGTGTACTGATTTAAGGATATTTACAAAAGCTATTTTAATAAAGAAAATTCTATTGTGTTCTCATTTCTTTCTCCTATAAGTTCAATGCTTTCACTATGCAGTTACCACCAAAATCACTTTATTATTTTTAAAAAACAAAAAGAAAATCATATTAGCAAAGGAAGACTGGAAGGAAAGATAGACTCAAGGGTCCATTAATAGAGGGCTTGATAAATAAATTATGGCAAACCCACAAAAGCAAATATTATGCAACTATTAAAAAGAATAAAGACAATCTCTGTATATTGATATGAAAAATATCCAGGATATATCTTTAATTAAAAGATATAGTATTATGCAAACATAATGTTACCTGGTGAAAAAAAGGGAAAGGGAAGTGGAGGAGAAAATAAAAAATGTATACTCATATTAGTTGTTATCTTTAGGCAGAAACATTGAAAAGAATTCAAAAGAAAGTGGTTATTAATGGGACAATGGTGGCATGTAGTATACAGAATGAATAGAGACAGAGTAAAACTGAGACTCCACAGTGTATGCCATTTTTTATATATATTTAAAATTTTTTTTAATTGTAGATGGGAACAATACCTTTATTTATTTATATTTATGTGGTGCTGAGGATCGAATCCAGTGCCTCATACATAGAAGCAAGCGCTTGCCACTGAGCCAAATCCCAGTCCCCTTTTTTAATATTAAAGCATACAGCCATATAACATAGTCAACAACATAAATAAAAATAAAATATATAAACCCAAAAGGTTTGTCATATTCAGAGTGTGCATTTCAGCTTGCTTTGCATCAAAATATACATTTTGAACTGGGTGTGGTGGTGCATGCCTTTAATCCCAGCGGCTCAGGACACTAAGATAGGGGGATCATGAGTTAAAAGCCAGCCTCAGCAACTTATCAATGCTCTAAGCAACTTAGACCCTGTCTCCAAATAAAATATTAAAAAGGGCTGAGGATGTGGCTCAAGTATTAAGCATCCCTTGGTTAAATGCCTGGTACAAAAAAAAAATATATATATATATATAATATATATATATATAAAATATGTATATATAAACAAAAATACATATTTTTTTACACACATACACGCACCTATACACATACACACATTTTGAAAATAGATAATCCAAGTCCCCACCTAAGGTAATTTTTATTTAGTAGGTCTGTAGCAGGGTATAACAATGTATATATATATTTTTAAAATTCCCAGGTATTTCTGATATAGATATACTCAAATAACTGGTTAACTTTAATCCTTTCATTCTGAAAATATGAAAATTAGGATAAAGCAAAGACAGATTTACTTAAAATCATATAGTAGTAAGAAGACTTGGCCTCGGAACCCAGGTCTTTTTATCCCAATTCAATGTTCTTTCCACTTATCAGCAAATATGGATTTAATCCAACTCTAGATTTTTACAGAAAATATCTGGAATATTTCTGATAGCCCATTGCCTACTTTCTACCCAAAATTCTACTGGTGACCAGAGATTCAATCTAGGTATTTACTCTAAAATGTTTTAAACAAATTTTTTCTATTCCAATTTAAAAAGCTATGTTAGCCTCCAAAGAGACCAGGATTGTGTGGTTCTCACTTTGTTTGCTCTCACATAGTAAGTAAAAGACCTGAAAAACCTGGTGATTGTGAGAATGGGTTTTGAGCTGGTGATTTTGAGACAATATTCTTAGATTCATTAGAGAAAATGAAGAAAATTTAAAAAGTAAATAAAACTATCTACAACTCCATTAGCATATAACCAGATAACCACTATTAGTGTTTTTTTCTTATAGTTTTTTTTAGTTGCAGATGAACACAATACCTTTATTTATTTATTTTATGTGGTGCTGAGGATCAAACCCAGCGCCTCACGTATGTAAGGCAAGTGCTCTACCACTTGGCTACAACCCCAGCCCCACTATTAGTGTTTTAATTATACCTAAATAATTTTATAAATTTTGTTAAAAGCAGTTAAAAATATTATTCTATAATAAAATTAGAATGACTCTCCTCTAATTATTTATACATATTCCCATCTATGAACAAATAAATAGCTAATACGATAGGGTCTTAGTAAATCCAAGAAGTAATATAAATGACACATTTTTAATCCAAGTTTTTCACATATTCTAGGCAATTTTAACATTGAGGCATGAAATAGCCCAAGATTAGGAAGTATGTTACCTCTTCTGAAACTGCCACAGACTGTAGCAATGTATTCAGAATCCACTTTTTTAACTTCATTTAGTACAATATCCTAATAGAAGAAAGATTAAGTCAGTATTCCAAAAACAGCTTTTCACCAAGTGATGTTCTCAACAGTAATCAGAAAATACAGTTCAGCATATTCTTACTTGCATTTGTAACATCTCTTCACGAGGGATTCTTTTTTCAAAGTCCTCAAAATATCTATAAAGACAGAATAAGTACACAAAAGATTTTTGTAAAATTTAAATCTTTTTAGAAATTAAATTGCCTACCATACATAGTGTCCTTATACCAGCAGATTACAATTCTCACAAATCAAGAATAGAATTTATTGAGAAGACAAAAGCAAAACTGAGATGGGGTGTCTGTTTCTTAACTGGATCAAAATCCTGAAGTTCATCCTTTGTAATATTCAAGAAACTGCATCAAAACTTATATGTAAGTAAGTTTAATATTCACATTACAATAGTAAATAAACATATTTAAGTTAGGACATGTTTTCAAAGTACTGCTCTTTACTGGTAAATCAAGGGGTTGGTTACAGTTAACTGCACTTAAATCTTGCAAAAATAGGAGTAAGAAATTCTGTTGTGCTATTGCACTGTAAGATAACTATAGATAATGAGAATTTGCTATATATTTTAAATAGCTAGAAGAAAGGATTTTGAATGTTTTCACCATAAAGTAACGATAAATGTTTAAGGAGATATGTTTACTCTAACACATGTATATGTGTTAACAGCATATACATGTATCAAACATCACATGGAAATCCCCAAATATGTACAGTGCTATTATATATCAGTTAAAAAATAAATATAAATTCAAAAATAACACAAAAATTCTGCAAATTGTTGTTTTTTAAAATATTAACCTAAAACATGGATGAACCTCGACAATAATATGGCAAGTGAAAGAAATCAGTAAAGACCACATATTGATTTCATTTATATGAAATGTCCAGAAGAGGCAAATTTGAACAGCAGATTAGTGGTTGCCTAGGGCTGAATGAGGATAAATGGGGAATGACTGCTAATGGATGAGTTCTTTTGAGGATAACAAAAATGTCCTAAAATTGTAATAATAGTTGCACCACTCTGTGTACATACCAAAAATCACTGAACTATATCCTTTAAATTGATAAATTACATGACTTATGACTTATATCTCAATAAAGCAGTTACAAAGATATTATCTCTGTTTGAAATGATATCTAAGCATATGGCTAAGAATGATAATGTAATTCTTCAAAATCAGTTCTCATGATAACCAAGTTCTTCACAATACCTCCATTTACTATATAAATGCAAAGAAAGTAAGAATCACACCATCCTGGTCTCTTAGTGGCTCAAAATTTTAGAATAATAGTATAAGTTTAAGAGGAAATACATATACTGCTTATACACTATCATTGTAAATAATCAATATCTAGCACACAAAATAATTATTGATATTGATAGAGAAACATACATACTAGTTATTTATACTGCTTTTAGTTGTTTAGAGATTTTTCTTCTTATTAAAAAACTTTAGTTTTTCATGTTCATGTAAACTGATGTTCACATGTTTCATGTTCTTCTCAGACTAAATAAACTACTACACTGAATCTCTTTAGTATTCTTCCCCCAGATCTAGTACAGTGCTTTGTACTACAGAATCATGGAATGAACACCCAATGACTGTCTAAGTCACTGCACTAAGCTTTATGTATTTTAAGAGGGAGTTGTCCACTAAAGTCAAGTGAATGAGGGAAATTCTTAAAATAAGTAAACTATAAAACAATAACAAAATGTATGTACATATACATAAACTCTACAGGAGTCTGCAACAAATCTTAGCATTCCTAAATTGGAAAATGCTTGTGTTTACCTAATTTGAGGAATTATTATGGTGTATAAAAGAATGTCTATAAAAATTTTTACTTTCACATCTCAAATATCAAAAGAAAATTTGCTCTTACTTCAGCCCAATTCGTTGATGATGATTCAATTTATCTTCATTTTTTCTGAGATCTGAATAGAAGATAAGTTTGAGGTGTTAATTTGAACACTTTTGGGAGGAAAAATACTAAACTCAGCTACTTTTTTTCAAAGAACTAGCTGGAGGGAAAATACATTGAAATGGTTTTGATAAAAACAAGGAGAAAAAAATTTTTAGATATTAAGAACTAGAAAAAATGACTCTTCAAATCAATACAGTAAAAACCTAACATCTAATTTTATGATCATTTCCATTTACTGACTCAAAATTTGAATGAGAGTTACATGAAATGATAAATATACAGGAATTATATCAAATTTTGCTGGCTATCATAAAAGGCAACCTTATAAGAACTAATAATGCTAAATTTACTATTCATAGCAGCAGCAATCACAATTTCTGAAGACTTTATGATTACCTAGGTTCATTCATAGTGTACATTTATTCATTCACTCCATTGAATTAGTGTTGAATACTGATTTGTGCAGGCATTGTACTAAAAATCCTGTTGAAAGTAAAGGTATTAGCTTCATTTTTTAATTTGCAAAAGTCGTCCTAACATTGTATCTTAAAAGTGACTGGGTTCCATTAGGTGTTCTTCTTTTACTAGGCATGAGTACAGTAGTGAACCTCGTTAAAGAAAACAATAAGCATGGTTTAAAAGCAATTCCTATGATCACCCTTAGATTAACAAATACATAAATTCACTCTGGAGATATAAAACAGAGAAAAATAAGCATCTTTATGACACATGGAACATTTAACATCTCCCACAGGAAATACTAACATATATATCTGAAAATGAAATGGAAATAGTGATATATATGTATATATCTAAGTTAAATATATAGACATTACATAATTATGAAATAATATAAAAACAAAATGTTTGGCACTACCAAGAGATAAAACCTAAACACCTTTGAGAAACCCACTTTTTTTTTTTCCCAGTTTCTTGCTATGTTGCCCAGGCTGGCCTGACTCAGCCTCCCAAGCAGCAACCAGCTCGAAACCCACAAACTTGAGTGGGTTTAAGTGCTTTAGCCAATCATCTTATTCAGATATACTGTATATGTCACAAGGAGAAAAGCACATAACCTCTCTGAGATGCACAGAAAGAGATCAGTCTCTAGAAATTCTTGGTTTAGTAATACTTAGTTTAGTGAACAATATTTCATAAAAGTAAGTTAATCATTTTTCAGTACTTACTATGTATTAAGCACTCTGCTAAGTGCTTTACAGACTGCATTAAATTATATGAAATATTTGTTTTGTAGCTAAGAAACTGAAGCACAATGCTCATAAAGGCCTCTGAGATAATATGTAATATAATATAATATAATATAATATGAGATTTAAATGACAAAGAGCCAGCTATGAAGGATCAAGGGAAAAGGGAAAGGGAAAGTCAAAAGCCCTCAGGCTGGCATGAGTTTGTTGGCTATTCAAGAAAGGAGAAAAACAAGTATGGCTAGTTGGGATTCAAACCAGGTCAGTCTCCAAAACATGTTCACCTAACCACTGTGTTGCTTATAATAGTTGAACCCACAAATACTAAACCCTTAATGCCATGGATGTACTATAATGAATTCATATATATAGAGTATACACCTTGAAAAGTATGAAGAGATAAATTAAATTGAAAGGATTGCTATGTTAGGTTTATGTGTTTTAAAATTACTTGACTTAGGCTCTATTTTTATTACTTCCTTCAAATTAAAAATTCCTTCAATAAGCACTCAACTCTCAATATATATAACTCAGCATTTAATCTTAACATATAAGATTAAATGTTTTATTATAGAAACGAATATTTTTGTTTTATTATAGAAACAAAAGTAATTTAAATATTCTAAACATCTACAAATGAGAACTATTTTCATTGTCTTTAAACCAAGAAATCACTTCCTGGTTGTGATTTTCTTCTAAATTACAAACCTAAAAATGTTTAAGATGGGACTATAAATTATACATCTATATTCTACTACAGAGTTAAAAAGAAAATTTTATTTGTATTTATTAATTGAGAACAGGTTTTCCAGGTTTTAGTTTGTTAAGAGTATTTATTAATGGTCTTTCAGGACCATATTTAAGCCGGAATTAGCAACCTGTGGTCATACTTACCTTCTAATGTTTTAATTCCTTCATCTACAAACTTCCTTGCAGCAGATGGACTACAAAGAAAGAAATGCATTGTCTCAATATCGAATGGAATTCAGGATCACTGTAACAATCAAATATTTAAAAATAAAATAAAAGGAAAGGTCAAACATAAAGACCTGATATTATGCTAAATAAGACCTACCAAAATGGTTACTTTGGTAATGTGCAATTTTATTCAAAGTAAGAATTTTTGAAGTTTCAATCATTAGGAAGATAATCCTGTACTTGGACAGGGAAAAAAACACCTAAACAGCTAGCCATCATAATATCCATGTTCAAACATATGGGCACCTGAAAATTGTTCATTCACTCAAATAGGATTTACTGAGGACCATATCATATGCCAGACACTGTGCTGAAGATACAGCATAAATAAGATAAATAAGAGCACTAGATATCACCCGCTTACATTCTAGTAAGGGGATACATAAATACATATACAAACAAGAAAAATATCAGGTGGAGGAATTCAAATCCAGACAAAACAGAATGACTGAGTTCTGCTTTAGATTGGGTGGTGAGTAAAGGGCTCTGAGATAATACATAGGCTGAGATTTAAATAACAAAGAGCCAGCTACAAGGGATCAAGGAGAAAGGGAAAGGGAAAGGGAAGGTCAAAAGCCCTCAGGCTAGCTTAAGATTGGCTTGTTCAAGAAAGAAGAAAAACAAGTATGGCTAGAATGAGATATCACTGAGCAGTACACAGGGGCCCACACATTATCATGTTTTTAAAGCCAGGGTAGTAAGTTTGGGTTTTATTCTGAGTGCAAAGGGAGGCTATTAGAGCATACAGGGCAAAGCAGTGATAAAATCTGATTGGGTTAATGAACAATCACTGTGATTGCCATGTTCACATAAATAAATCCAAACATCAGAAAGAACTAAGGATGGGCTGGGGTTGTGGCTCAGTGGTAGAGTACTTGCCTAGCATGTGTGAGGCACTGGTTCGATTCTCAGCACCACATATAAATAAATAAATAAATAAATAAATAAATAAAAATCTATTGACAACTAATATTAAAAAAAAAAAAAAGGACTAAGGATGCTCTTATGGAATGGCAGGGACAGAAGGAACCTTAGAGATTAACCAAATCTCCATCTCATTTTATAAAGAAGGACATCAGAATCTAAAAAACTAAAAATAATTTGCTAAGGTAACAAATTTAGTTGGTCAGGACTAGTACTCAGTTTTCCTGATTCTCTTCCCTTATATCAATTTACAGTAAAAGTGAGAACAGAGATCAGAAAAAAAAGCACACATACACATTCATGTGCATATAACAGCCCGAGTCATAGTTTCTGGAACAGTGTGCAAACATTATGATATTATAGTGTGGTATAATTGACATGGATATTAGGAAGGCAATGTGGCAAACAAAAAACAGAATTGAACGGGGAATCAGGAGACAAGAGTTCTAATTCTGGCTCTGCCACAGTACTTTCTACACTCAAGTTTCAGCTTTCTTCCTTAAAAAAAGATGATAATATAACATGCTCTCTAAAACATCTTCTAATCAAAATTTTAAAATAGCCTTGGGTCCATAAGGAGTCATGCTAATTTTCAGTATATTATGCTTAAGAATGTAATACAGTTTAGAATAACTTCTATCTAAAATGTGGTCACTTAAAGGAATAATCATCATATAATGTAAAGGAATGCCTTGTTTCTTAAAGATAAGAGGTAAGGAAAACATTATGGCCTTAATATTTCAGTGTTAATCTTTCCTTTGTCCAATGTCAAAAGACCTTTTCAGTGCTAGTTCCAAATCTGAGATAAAGTTTCCTGCATTAAAGAACAACTGAGTGCTTATTCCAAATTCATGGTTCTAAAGAAAAACATTATGCTTAGAGAAGCAGAAGAGACACAATCTGAAGAGGGCAAAAGGTGTACACAGCAAGTACTAGTAGAGTTTAGAGGAAAGAAGATAGAAGGTAACATTTGCTTTAAATGAGGCATCATGTGAATAATCAGCTTCAGATCCATAAGCTATGAAAAGGTGAACTGTATGAGTAAAGGCAAAGAGGTAGTGAAGCACAAGTTTAGAAGAAAAACAGCAGGTAACTTAGCTTGGTTGACATGAAAAATATAACCAATCTATGACTATGTCTGTTAAAAAATAGTTCTTACCCAATGCCACTAACTCGAGTTAGGAAATTGATGGATGAACTTGTATCATCCTGCCGAATCTTTAAGGAAAAAAAAAAAGTCTAACAATGATTTAAGAATGCTTTGAGAACTTAAATGATCTTATTAAAAACCAAAATCATTTACATTTACCTGGTTAACACATAGTAAAGTATTCATATATAACCTAGGTAGTTACAGGTGAATAACAGAGCAGTTGAAGATGTCTCATCTCTAATTTATTCAATACTTTTGGATGGGGGTATAGCACCGTGGTAGAGTGTGTGCATGAGGCTCTGAATTCAATCATCAGCCCCAAAACAAATAACTTTTTTACTTTAAATTGACAGATAAAATTGCGTGTATTTATCATATACAACACAATGTCTTGAAATATACATAAGTTGTAGACTGGTAAAATCCAATAAATTTGCTAATTAACAAATGTACCACCTCATATAGTTATTTTCATGGGAAGAACATTTAACATCCAGTCTCTGAATTTTTCAATTTTCTAATACTTTTAAGAGGCTTATCCATAAGAGACGAGAAATGATATAATTATTATCATTAGAGTGAAATAAAAGCATAAAAATTCTTGGAAGAATTAAAGAACAGAAATTCTAAATGACAATGACCTTTTAGTCAAAATTTATAATCTCTTTTCTGAATAGTAAAAAAAATAAGAGCCAACTGTATCATGATGCTAAAAATCTCTTAAATGTCATATAAAATAAGAGGGATTTTTTTTTTGTGTGTGTGTGTGAGACAAAGTGGCCCAGGCTGGTCTCAAATCTGTGAGTTCAAGTGATCCTTCCATCTCAGCTTCCTGTGCATAAGGTATTACAGGTTGCACTACCATGCCCAACTAATAAGTGAAAATTTTATAGAAGCAATGTTCATATTTAAAAAATAGAATACGTAAAGTCATAAAGTCTATACTCATCTCTTTCCTTCTGGAAAAGTGAGTAAAGTGATGTTACTCACCACAGTGAGTAACATCAATCGCCCTGTAAGGACACTACATGATAGTTGCCATAAAGGAAGACACTGTAACCAAATAAGTAAATCAGTTAAAATTTTACCTTTTCCAGTTTACGCAATTTTCCAGTTGCTAAATACTCATCGATTTTTTCCGCAATTTTTGTTCCTACTCCAGGCTACACAAAAAATGAAAAATATAAAAATCATATAATTGTAATGCTCACCAAATTACTAAATGATAAAGTGGGAAAAGATAAACAAATGCTCATAAGCGATAAGTTTTCAAACAATGGACAGAAAATTGAACCCCTGTAATGAATTCTCCCAGCAGCAAAATGCTTAAATGATTGACAAAAGAGAAATCTTTATAAAATAAGTCTAAATGACTCATTTAAAATTAAATTTTGTTGTAGAAAAATTAGAAAAGTTACACAAAGAATACTAAAATCACTTGTCAATCTCATTGCCCTGGAAATTATTATTTGATTTCTTTTTTACTTATAAATATACATTTTTACATATATGCTTTTTCCTAATACATTATGAACACATGTTTATATCAATCAATAAATAAAATGGTGTCTTTAGTGGTTGCATAGTATATCATCTTACGGATGTATAATTTACTTAATATCCTACATGTAAACATTTAGATGGTTTCTAATTATCTGATAGTATAATAATGCTATTATGAACTCCCTTTAGAACAGAGGTGCTTACGCTTTTGCATGCATTAGCATCACCTGGACACAAGCAAAGTGTCTACTGACACACCTGGGTTCTCTCACCCAGAAATTATAGAAACAGGGTCTATCAGTGACAGAAGTCGGGTTGAGTTCTACTTGGATGACAATGCCAATTACCCATTCATGCTGCCCATCCTAGGTAATGACACAGAAGCAGTATCTATATCAGTACCACATGAACACACACATATATATACTCATAGCAACGAACACTAAAGCAGTTGACTTTTGTCGCTGAAGACATTTTTTTCCCAAATGAAGAATGGATTTAATTAAACTATGTATTGAAAAAAAAAACAGCCTAAGTATTAGAGATGGTGATTATATCCAGTTTGAGTTACAGAACCAATTTCCTGAATTTTTAGCATTCAGTGAGCTGCCAATTTTGATTTTGTATTGCTCTTTTTCCAAATGACATTTTCTTTCTTTTTTTATTGGAGGAGGGGGAAAAAGTAGTAATACTGTATTTGAAAATTATACTCTGTATCTGGCTTTCCTGTGTATGTAACCATTTCGGTGTTATTATCCTGCTTCGGTTTTATAGTGATTGTGAAATTTGATGCAAGTATACAGTCATTTTCTCATTAAAAACACAATATGTGTCGGTATTAAAAAAAAAAAAAAAGCACAGTGTCAAGTCCCACCTTAGCGTTTCTGATTCATTTTATCAGGGATATGCCAAGAAGCCAAGGATTTGTACTTCTAAGTTCCCCAGTGTTGTTGTTGTTGCTGGTCTACGTATCACATTGAGAATCATTGCTCTAGAACTATAAAGTCCAATGTAGAATACTAGCCACATAATGACAATTTAATTAAAATTTAGAATTCTTCAGTTACACTAGCCACATTTCAAGGACTAAATAGTCAAATGTGGTTTATGGTTGCCATATTGGACAGTACTGCTCTAGAATGTAAGCTCTAAAACAGCAGAGATCTTATCTGTTCACTGCATATCCCTAATGCCTGGCTTATAGGTGCTCAAAAGTTGTTAAGTTGCTTAGTCCTTGTGTACACATAACTCTACTGGTTTTCTTAGAACAAATTCCTCCAAGTGGAATTGTTGGGTCAATATATACAGTATGGCAAATTTTCCCCGGAATGGCTGTAACAATCAAGACACCCTTCAGCAGTAAATGAAGGTTCTTTTATTTTTTTCACAACCTTATTTACATTTCATACTAGTTTGATAATTTGAGAGGCAATATATGGTATATTGTTTTATTTTCCAACTTAACCTTTTTTTTTTCACATTTATTGGTCCTTTTAAACATTCAACAAGCAAAATAACATGTGTGCCAGTTATTTCCTACTGACCTTTAGCCCTAATTCACCCTTGTGTACTTTTGATGTCTCAAAACTACTGAATGCATATTCAAGTTCTGAAAAAGCAATAACCAAGTAGAAATGAACAAAAGATTTAGGAAGATTAGAAAAGGAAAACTGCTTAGACTTCTCATTTCTAATATTAAATGATAAAAAGGTAATTATTTTTTCCTTTACAGATAGTGCTACAACAATTTCACTCAATAAATAGACCTCAAGCAATTTAGACCCAAGCTATTTTCTGTATCTAACATTAAGGAATAAAAGACAAACAACTCATTCTGGAAATGTAAGATTTCTGGAATTATTGAGAAGCACTCCTATGGGCTAGATAATAGGTCTTTGATTCTTAAGTAATAGTAAAAAGAAATAATGTTGATATTTTTAGTTAAGTCCAGTCTAATGGAAAAGGAGTTTTGGATACTTTCATGCTTTTTTTTAGGGCCATATCAGGAGCTCAGATTCAGGATGAAGTATATCAGAGCTTTTCAAAAACCTTTAATAAAATTTATTTGCAATCAGCACAGAAAAGGAAGGTCAGGAGTTTCAATGAAAGGGGAACAGAATGAATAGGTGTGGTCTCTGAGGATAACATTGCAACAGTTCACTAAGACAAAAATTCAGAATAAGAAGTAAATCTCTAATGTATTTATAACTTAGTTGGATGCTGTATTTGGGAAAAATATACTATTGCTGGTAATGGTTCATGGCACAAAGGATTTAAAACCCATGCACCAAAGTAGGATTTGTATCGGTTAACAAATTCAAGGTTAAGATGTGGCACATGATTAATGTGAGAATCACAAGATTCATGGGTGACTATGAAGGGTGAGAGAACAAAGGGCATTTATGGTTCATACTCTTAAGGCTCTCATTAGAAAAAATTAAGGATGATCAAATATAATACTTAAAATTCCAGAGGACTTTTGTAAAACACAAGAACAACAAATGGAGATGATAACTATCATCTGGAAAAATCAAAGCCATGTCAGTTTGGCATTTTTAACAAAATGTAAGATATTTAAGCAAATTTGAATCATTTATGTAAGGTTAAATAAGAGAGAATTATCTATCAATAGAGAGATCTTCCAAGGACATTCTTAGTGATATTATTATAAATTACCAAGAGATGTGAGCCTCTAGAAACTGATATTACTAGGACACTAGCACATAGGGTTTCATGGAAATAAAAATAGGGCTAACTACCATATGAGAAAAGAGGTCTACTCATGTGCCTATTTGTAGGTAAAATCTCTTTGGGGAATACTCTCCCCAAATGTAACTAATGTAAGTCCCTATACCTGGGGATCAGGGAAGGATAGATAGGGACCAGATATGATAGTATCATTACATCACCATAGTCTTTTTTGGGGGGCAGTGGGGTACTGGGGATTAAACCCAGGGATTCTTTGCCACTAAGCTACATCCCAAGCTCTTTTAATTTTCTATTTGAGAGGGTATTGCTAAGTTACTAAAAGCCTCATTAAATTGCTGAGTCTGGCCCCAAACTTGCAATCTTCTTGCCTTAGCCTCCTGAGTTGCTGGGATTACAAGTGTACACCATCGGACAATGGCCACCATTGTCAGAGGAATTCAATGTGAGAGTTGGTACATGCATATGTGATAGAGTAGAAAAAGAAAAGTATAATTATGTATCTGTTGATCTCCAAATAAACACATTTTGAGCTTGAAAGAGTATGCTTTAAATGGCATTAATTTTATTCCAAAAAATTAGGAGTAGTGAAATCTGTTTGTGTGGGTCAAGACAGCTTCAGAAAAATGAGTTTAGTTTTGTGGGAACCCCCCAAATTTGTACATGTGTAAACTGTTCGACCAGTGTGTTCACTAAACTTACCAATTTCTTAGCTTCTGCTCCACTCTTTATTTTGTGTGGGTACTTTGCTATAACAGATGCTGCTTTTCTATAAGAGGAAAAAAAGGGAAAATCAATTAAAAAACAAGCAAGATCTTAACTTTTCTTAAACTAGAATGCACACACAAATATCTACCTTACACTTTCACCAAGATAACTAATTTTCCATTCCCATGTAAGACTTAGAATTTAGAGAGCTGATAGATTACCTACTATATGTCTAATTCTTAAGTTTCTTGAAATTTCTCACAGATGAGGATAATTTTAACTGTATATGTAACACTAGAGGGATTTGGGATACCAGCAGTCTTCTTTCTTGTGAATAATTGAAAAATAGCATATAACAATATATTTTAATTGTTTCTGCAGATGATTCATAATTCTTGCTTAAAAATGTGCTACCAAACTAATAGAACTATGAGATATCATATTTGCTTACAGATGGCTATTTTAAAATTCATGGCTTCTGGGGCTGGGGATGTGGCTCAAGCAGTGGCGCGCTCGCCTGGCATGCGTGCGGCCTGAGTTCGATCCTCAGCACCACATACAAAAACAAGGATGTTGTGTCCGCCGAAAACTAAAAAATAAATATTAAAATTCATTCTCTCTCTCTCTTTAAAAAAAATAAAAAATAAATAAAATTCATGGCTTCAAACTGCAATTCCCTATGTCCTTATATCAATTCTTTTTTAAAAAAAATTGTTAACATTTCAGTTTAACATAAAGAAGTGATCATGTGTTTCTTGCCTACCTCTACGTACACTCAGTTTAATAATCTGATGATAGATTAGGTATACTCTGGGTGCTCACTGGGTATTCTGTCTAAAATTTCAATGCTAAATGTAGTTTAGAATTGTTGCTGATAAAAAGCAATAGTACAACTAAATCTAAAGCACAAATGTTGAATAATCTTTTGAACCTGTGATTTTTATTCTATTCTAGCATATATGTCTTTAGATTTGAATTATAGCTTATTTATTAGCATATGATTGATGATGGCTCTAGACAGGTTATAATTATAGGGGAAGCAACAGGCTAAGGCAGTTTATGGAAGGGATTAGCTAAGGAAAGGCAAGTAGATCCAGATAACTGGAACTGGGTACCCAAGCCTGAAAGGAATAAATTAGATCATGAAAGGCCTTTTGTATGCCATCATATATTTAGGCTTTATCAAAAAAAATATTGAATTATTTGATATGAAATACCGACAAGACTAGATTATTTTAAAAAATACTTCATTCACAATCAAGAGAAATGTATACTAGGGGTGAGTATGTATGTGAGTAGTACGTAGGGATAGTAGGGGATTATTTGCTTTTCTGGATTTATTTCCCACTCATGCTATATATAACCCTTAAGCCAACTGAATTACTGACTTTTAGAAAATGTTATATTCTTTCATCTCAAGGACTTGCCCCATTTTGTATTCTTTGTCTAGATTTCTGCTCCTCTCAACTTCTGATGAGCTCCTTCAAGATTAAACACTGCTGTGACCCAAACAGGGTTGAATATCTGTGTGAATTCTAGGTCACTAATGTATGGGAGATAGTACAATTACTTTACATAGGAAATCATAAGAAGAAAGCATAATCAGTTTTGAAATATGTTTGAGTGTGAAGGAAAAAATTCAGGTGAAAGCCCAAAGTTTTGGAGTCTATGACTTAAGTGGTACTCAAAGACAAGAAAGAGAAAGTACTGAAAGGGCTACAGGGGTTGGGGATGTGGCTCAAGCGGTATAGTGCTCCCCTGGCATGTGTGCAGCACGGGTTTGATCCTCAGCACCACATACAAACAAAGATGTTGTGTCCACCGAAAACTAAAAAAAATAAATATTAAAATTCTCTCTCTCTCACTCTCGCTCTCACTCACTCTTTAAAAAAAAAAAAAGAAAGGGCTACGGGAAGACTTCTGGAAACTAGTAACACTAAAAGCTAAGACAGATGAAAAAAATGAAAGAATAGAAGGGATTACTAATCATCGTGAAAATCAAGGGAAAGACTTTCATGGAATGAGCTTATGAAGAATGCCACTGAGAGTCCAATAAGATGACATGTAGGTGAGAGATTTTCAGAGAAATGGCAAGATGGGAATTATACTGCAATGACATAAGGGAATGACTACTGATGAGGAAGTCCAGAAATGAAACATAGATTGTTCAAGAAGGAAAAATAAGGTACTAGCTAGAGGGAAGTTAAGACTGTTTTCATTTTGCTGTTAAGAACTGAGGGACTTGGGGGCACATTTATAGGCTAAGGGGTTGAGACAGGTAGATGTGGAAATAATGGCTAGGAAAAGGCCCCTGGTAATGGACAAGGACTAGATCCGGCGAAGGTGACAGGATCAGCCACAGACCAACCAGATGGAAAGATATGATTTGTCGCACCACAAATGTTTGAGTACATATTGCAACCACTGCCTTTCATTATGGCTTAAAATTATACTGCATTTCCAATCAATCACGTTGGATAATTGGGAACTTATCTGAATTGATCCTATAGAGCTCTGTCAAAATTCTTCCAGAAATATTAAGTGAGGTACCACCTTCTTGTTGCTTTTTCTGCTCTTGCAGGTGGTCGAAATATCCATTGGAACCTTGGTTATGTTAAGTGCCACACAAAGCAGGTGTATATCAGAATGCATGCTAGCCAAGAATGCTGCACTGTCCCACCTGTAAGCATTGTACTTGTGGATAGCCTGGCTCACGTTCTTCTCAAAGTTTGCGAGTTCTGAAAAGGCAACAAGAGGCTTGGGTGAACAAGAATTACGAGTAAACGCAGGAAAACTGAGTTCCCTGGAAGAGGATGTGGCAGCATCTAAGGGTCAGTGGCTACCCATTTCTTCACAGGCAGCAAAGGCTGCCCAAGGGATGACCCAGAAATCCCCGGAAGAACTGACAATCAGCTCTCGGCACGGGTGCCTCAGGAAGAGCTCCAAGGAAGACCACCAGCTGCAAGGAGCTGACCCCACCCACTGGACTGTAGCGGCAGGCGAGAAGGGAGGGAAGGCAATGGGGAGAAAGGAAGGCAATGGGTAGAAAGGAAAGGGATAGCCAAAGGAGCCGGGCCCAGGACTAACCCATGAGCATGTCTGTGATTCCCCCGTTGAGAGTCTCCTGCGGCGCCTTCCGTTTACTCATGGTGGCCTGCACCCGAGGGCTCCAGGGTGTCCAGAGCCTGGGAGAGCCTGGGAGAGACAGGGACTAGCCCGCCTCCCCCAGCCTTAAGAAGGAACGGGGACTTGAGGAAGGGATAAGGATCAAATCAGCCCAGCAAGGCGGGCGCGACCGGCTGAACAATGGCTGCCTCTGACAGGAGGCGCGGCGCGGCGCGGCGCGGCGCGTGTGGTGACGTCACGCGCTGGGGCGGTTCCGGGGCGGGGCTACAGAGGAGTGTCCTTGGTCTGGTAGGAAAAAAAGGGAAGGTCTTGGAAGCTGTCCTAGAAGCAAATGGCTCAAAGCTTAAAGAGTTTTGCTGGAGGAAATGAGAACCTCAGAATTACATCCTGATATGTTTCTTAGGGGAAGACCTGGAACCTTAACCTAAGAGATTCTGTTTTCCTGATGTTTCTCTGGAATCCTCTCCCTAAAGAGGGAAAAACAGAAGTCCAATTTTGATGGTAAGAATTGGGTATAGAAGACTGAAGACTGGTCTTGTGGACATATATGTGCACAATAATAGTTATTGAATGCATGACAGATTTCATATGTGATAAAGGCAACACTAGCATCATACTTACTGTCCAAAGGCTCTGGGAATGTCTTGCAATCCACACTGCAGTGGAATTCTGAACTCGGCACTGCAGGAGCGTGGAATGGTGGACACAAGCAGCTGTCCACCAGAACTTTTTTTCTGCCAACTATTAGTTAAAGATATTTTACTTTTTATTCCCCTTTTGTGCTAGGAGCCAAAGTGATGAAAAGACCCCAAGAAAGGGAGAATGTAATAAGCAAGTAAGGGAGACCTATAGTGAGCAATTAAATTTCCATTGTACCATGAGAAGTGAAATACATCAGCTCTATGTTATCCTAAAAGTGTAACACCTAGGTCCATTTATAACCAATTCAGGCAATTGCTTTGTGTATGAAGCTAAACTTTTATTATGAAATGATACATAATTGCTATAGAAATATTTGATAAGTGAATAAAAGGAGAAAAAAAATTAGTGATCATCTCTCTATCCAGCTTGACTACTATCAATATTTTGTAACATAACATTTCTTGTTTTTAATCTTTGCCCTTTAAAATCCCCATTATCTTAAAATAATAAAGTAAGGCTTTACATAATTTTTTTTCTTTAAATAGCAACGTATGGTTAATTTTGTTTGTTTTTTGCAATATCAGTGTACATGTTAAGTGATGCTTATTGAACATTAGTATTTCTTCTTTTGTGAATTTCCTACTCATGTCCTTTGCTTATTTTTCTTTTAATACCTTTATTTCACTTATTTATTTTTTGTATGTGGTGCCGAAGATTGAACCAAGGGTCTTGTATGTGCCAGGCAAGCGCTCTACAGCTGAGCCACTACCCCAGCCTTTGCTTATTTTTCTAATGGAGGTAGTTGTCTTCTATTAATTTTTTAGATCTCTTATATATTATTACTTACCTTCTTTTGTATATTTTTGACAAAATTTTGTAAATAGACTTGGACTAGTTTTTTTTCTATATTCATATTTTTTCCTATTAAATATTGATATGCCAGGCTATATTGTTTGAGAGAATGACTATCCTTCATTAAATAAAAGCATTTTTATTTACCTCCAAATTTACAAATGTAGAGAGTTGTGTGAAAAAAATTTTATATGAATATTATGACTGCTTTTTAAAAATCAATACTAGACAATACAAGGAAAATTATTCCCAATCTTCTTAGACAACCTACATATGATTCACTTAACTAGTTTCTTTTTGAAATAACTAGTTTTCAGTTGACTTCTAAGATAGCACTTCCTCTTTTCTGGCCACTTTTCAGGGGCCATGTATGTACATGCTGGTTCTTAGCTCCTCCTCAACTCTCCGCCCTCAATGGGAAAGGAGCTCAGGCCTTGATTCTCTAAGCAGCTATGAGTAGCTTGAAGACATCTATATTTATATTTCTAACCTAACCTCTCCCTTGAGCTCACACATCAAACTGACAAAATATTCTAAAGAATTCTTGATTCTTACCCTACTCGCTTCTCCTTAAATTTTGCCTATCTCAGTAAATGGCATTTTAATCTATTCCGTCATCGGGCTAACACTCCAGGAATCATTTAAATTGTTTTCTTTTCATATCCCACATCCAATTTATCAGCAAGTTCTTGTCTGTTCAGTCTCTAAAACACAGCTGGCCCTCAGTATCTGAGAATTCTACATCCACAGATTCAAACAAACATGGATCATATTTGAAAAAAAATATCTATACTGCACGTGTACAAACTTATTTCTTGTTATTTCTTAAACCATACAAGAGTATATAGCATATAGAGATAATTTAAAATATTTGGGAGGATGTGCATAGGTTCTATAAGAATACTTTACCACTTTATGTAAGGGATTTGAGCATCTGGAGACTTTGTTCCTGGAACCAATCCCCCATGAATGTGAAGGGAAACCTGTTCTGAATCAGATTCCCTCTCACCTCAGCTGCTACTATGCAAGTCTGGTGTAGCATGGTCTCTTGAACTATTGCCATAGTTGTCATCAATGGACATCCTGCTTCTGCCCTTTTCTTTCCACAGACTATTCACCAAATAGGACAAGAGTGATTTTTAAAGACATAATGCAAAAATATCTTACATTTATTTAAATACCCTTTCACTGTTCTTAGAATAAAAACCAAACTCCTTTCTGTGGCCCGAAGGTGTAAGATGACTCATCTCCTGCCTACCCTCTAACTTTATTTCTTGCCAGTTTTCTCTTAATATTCATTGGAGGATGAAAAATGCAATGAGGCTAGCATGATCACGGCTATTGTATGGATCTTAAAAGTTTGCCAAAAGCCCAGGGAAGTACTAACTGAACTTAAAAATAATCATAAGCAAGCATTTTGGGAAGTGGTAGAAACTTTGTGGGGGCATAATGGAAGGTCTTTTGGTCATTGGGGGTATGCCCCCAAAGGAGAGTATGGGATCCTAGTCTCCTCCTTTTTTTCTCTTTGTTCCCTGGTCACGAGGTGAGTGATTTCACTCTGCCATCTACTCCTGCCATAATGTGCTGTCTTACCATGTCCTAAAGCAATGGGACCAGTCAGTCCTGGACAGGAACCTCCAAAACTGTGAGCCAAAATAAACCTTTTCTCTTTATAAGTTGATTTTCTCAGGTATTTGTTATAGTGACAGAAATCTGACTAACACAATCATTCATTTCTGGCTTATGAGATGGCAATTTCATTACCTGAAATAAAATTACAGATATAGCAGGTTTGGGTGAGGTATTTGAATATGACTGGTATGACTAAATACAGAAATTTGAAGTTTAGGAGTAGAAATGTAGGTTTGTTTAAAAAAGAAAAAGAAATGTAGGTTTGTGAAACATCAACATAAAGTTAAAAATATTGAGCATCAATCTAGGGAAAAAATCAGCATTTTCCTTAAACTTATAAAAAAACTCATTCTATTTTGGAGCTTATGGAAAAATGTCAGCCCTTTTCAGATATAAAAATAAATGTAAAAATCCTAAATATTATCTAACTTAAAAATAATCATAAGCAAGCATTTGATAAAGTTCAAGTGAATTTATGATCTTAACAGGATTCAGAAAATGGAATATGATAAAACATCTTTCACTTGATAAACACTATCTGACAGAAGGCTATGGTAATCATCCTTTTTGGTAATATAATTTTGGTTTCAGTGGAGGACAGAAATGTCCAATATCATCACTATTGTACAACCAGTACTGGAGATCTAAATATTTACAGAAATTTTCTTACAATGACAAGAAAGAGAAATAAAACATCAAAGGGATTAGAAAAGAAAAAAAATCGTATTTGCCATGAAGAGTAACTTTTATATAGATAACAATAGAATTAAAATAAACTATTAAAATAATATATAATTACATAATCAATGTGTTTAATTTATAATTAATAAAAATGTACCAGATGACTGAATTATTAACATTAACTTATTCCTCTCTACCACTAAAAACCAATTAAAAATTATAGAAAGTAAAAAATATTGACAAAATGACATAAGTCACAAAAGTACAGTGTGTAGAAATTAATTTTTTTTAATGTGCAACATCTAGATGGGTAAAATACTTCAGCTATTTAAAAGTTTTACAAGAAGATCTGAATAAATATATGGACCCATGATAAAAATAAATTGATTTTAGAATGAAATTTAGATAACTTGAGTGTTATGTAGCTCTGTATTTTATTTAAATCTTCTGAGTAGGCTTCCTCTGGCACTGTTCTATCAAGGGAGACAAAATGCCATCTAATTATTATCAAGTGAAAATGGAAATCTGCCTGTTGCCATCTGGAATGTCTGCTGGATATACTCATTGATGGCAGCATAGTTCAGTAAAACTCCATTGACAAAAACTGGGAGCAGGAGCTCCTTGATACTTAGAAAGATGTGGGAGTTTACTCTCTTAACTATGTCTCCATTAATACAATTAATGGGTGGTTAAAAGTGCCATTCACCATATAGTCTCCCTTGATACCATGTGGAAGGGGACTTGTTAGCATCTAGCAAACATGTAAGTCCTAGCTCCTCAGTTGGTCTTCTTTTGTCATCACCCTTGTGGGAGATGTGGGGACTCCTCATAACAATCTGATGAGTGTGGAAGTCAAAGTTCCTTGTTTGACCTTTGCTGGCAGAAACAGCAGTTTTTGCTGTGGTATTTGGCTGGAGTAGTCATTGTCTAAGATTCTTTCTCCTGGTCTTATGGCTAATGTAGTAATTTAAATGGTGGTACCCAAGATGATATGTTCACATCTTAATTCTCAGAATTTGTGACTTGCAGCAAAGAAGTGGATACCATCTTACACAACAAAATTTGTAATAAAAGATTTGGGAGAACCATCTTAACAAGTATCATGATAAAAGACACACTGGGGATATTTGATAGATAGGAGGCAGTAAACAATAGAGGCTGTCACCTACTTGAGGTAATTTATTATAGAAAACTAGAAAGGTGATAGATTTTGGTATTAAGGAATAGGATGCTTTATAACATGTACTATAACACAAAGAGGTGGAAGAAGCTTTGGAATTATATAATGAATAGAAGATGAAGAATATTAAGGTACATGACAGTAAAAGTCTTGACTGCCTTGAATAATGTTGATAGAAATACAGATGTTAAAGACAGATGATGAAGACTGAGAAGGATGTTAGGAGCATGGTCGAGAAAGTTTCTATCATCTTGAAGAACACATTTACTATGAACAAAATATTTACAGAAATGAATATACTCTTGGTGTGATTCAGCAGTACAGCCAGAGGAATGAGAAGTTATGTTCCATTTGTGTACAGTGTGTCAATGCATTCTACTGTCATGTATAACCAATTATAACAAATAAATACAAATGTTAAGTCATTGCTTTTATTGTGGGCTCAGAAAAAAATAAGAAACAAACAAACAAACATAGTTGGACTCAGAAAAAAATAAGAAACACATTACTGGAAATTGAAGGAAAGATTATCTTTTTTATATAGAGAAGTAAACTGGCTGAATTGTGTTCTGATTTGTGAAAAGCAGAATTTGTAAGCAATGAATTTGGTTATTCGCCTGAGATTCACAAGCAAAACACTGACAATACAGCCTGGCTTCTCCTTGCTGCTTATAGTAAAATTCAAAAAGAATGAGATAAATTGAAGAATTGTTAAGCAAAAAAGAACCAGAACTTGATGGGGCTCAGTGGCAGAGCACTTGCCTAGCATGTGTGAGGCACTATGTTTGATCCTTAGCACCACATAAAAATAAATAATAGGGTATGCTATCCATCTACAACTACAAAGAATTTTTTAAAAAGAAAGAAAAAAAAAAGAATCAGCACTTGATTACTTGGGAATCTTGGCCTACCAAGATTACAAAACTAAAATTTAAAAATTCACTCTGGGAAAGCGCCCCCCTGGAGAGAAAGTCAAGGGTATGCTGGACAAACTTTCATAGAAGAGATTAGGCATATGACTCATGGCATATGACCCACTCAACCATTTCAGTAAAAGTCAGGAATGGGATTATTCTGGAAAATATGTGGAGGGCCCTCTTGTCTAATGGTGGGGAACTCCATGACATACATAGGAGACCTACATTATTTTTGAGAATGTGTTATCAACAGAAATCATCTTAGATTAAAGGGACACGGGATGAAAGGAGGGAAAGGCTAGTGAAATTCCAAAACTAAAGGCAGGAAATGGGCTGATCAAACTATTAGGCTGCAAGCATGCTGTCTTTCTGGGGTGGGGCGGGGGTGAAGAAAGGAAAAATAATTTTAAGGGCAGAGTCATTGGCTGAGCAGATACGGAGCTAATGGATGCAGACCTAGTAAGTTTCTGTGGGCAGAATCAAAAGTCTATGGAGCCACCGTGGGCATAAAGAAGTCCATGGTGCCACCATGAGCACACATGCAAAGATTTAACAAAGCTGCTATAGGTCTAATAGGCAGAGCCACAAACCAATTTACAGAACTTGAAGCATAATGGAATTTGCCCTGCTTGAAATCCAAAATTGATGGGTCTGATGACTTCATTATTCCTTCCATTTTTCCTTATTGGTTTGGGAATGTCTATCATATGCCTATTCTACCATTGTATTTTGGGAGCAGATTACTTGTTTCCTAATTCCACAGGTCCACAGATGGACAAATTTTGTCCTAGATTATAACTGGCCTGAATCTCACCCACACCTGATTGAGATGATGAAATTCAGGACTTTGAAGCTGATATCTAGGTGAGAATATGGTCTCAGAGTTGATTCTGTAATGGATAGAGACTTTTGGGGATGTTTGACTGACATGAATTCAGGGGATCCAAGGGTGACCCCAAATCACATCCAAATCCCCAGAACCTGTAAATGTTTATTCACATGGCAAAATATGTGACTGCATAAAAATCCTGAGAGGAGGTATTTATCCTACATTTTCCAAATTGGCCCTAAATCTAATGACAACTGTTATCATAAATTATATACAGGGGAGATTAGATGGAGGAGGCGATGGCAACATATCCTTGAATCAGAGTTGCAGCCACAAGTCAGGATTGACTGGATCCATCAGATATTGGAAGAGGCAAGGAACAGAATTTATCTTTAGAGCCTACACAGGAGATATGGTCCTGTCTACATCTTGATTTCAGATTTCTGGCCTTCAGAACTGTAAGAATAAATTACTGTTGTTTAAGCCAGGCAATTTGTAGTAATTTGTTATAGCAGCCCCAGGAAAACTCAAAAAAGAGAGCATGCTTTTCTTGGGACCTTTTTGTCTGTGCCCATTAGCTAGCTTCTCCAGCACCCAATCTGGGATATATGAAAGAGAAAACCCAAAGAACTAGTAAGACTAGTACCAATGTCATTCCTCAAATCCCAAGGTCCCTATACAGTCTGCCTTACCCTCTACCTTCTTATATTTGCTCATATATAATGTCCAAAGATTTTAGTTGTATTTAACAAAAAGAAAAAGCATATCTACTTCATCTTTTTGGAAAAAGAAGTCTTAACTCTTGGGTTTTCACTTTTTTAATTAGAATGGCCCATGACAAACTTTTCAAACTACTGCTTTGGCTATGCCATTTTCTTGTTCAAAATTCTTGAGTGATTTCTAATTGCCTACGAAACAAGTCCACAGCCCTTAACCCAGCCTTCTCTCCTGTCCCAGGGTTTCTTGTCTTATTTCCCATTATGTCCCTAACCAAGGTTTCCAAAATTATGCTTTCTCAAACCATAAATCCTTTGGATATTAATGTTAAACACACATGGGGAGGGGTGAAATTCTATGATCAAATGATATTGGTCAATAATGAATTTACCTAAAGTTAAGCAAGTTCCTTTATTATAAGACTTTTCTGAGACTTTACCAGTATACAGAGCAAATCTCCAACAAATAGTTTAAGCATGAAGAATTTCCTAAACTTATTTGACCAGACACTTGCCTCACACTATCTCCATGGAAATTACTTCATGAAATTCCTCTACTTCAAGTCTTTTTTTTTAACCAACAAAACATACCTGTATATGATCATCTAAATTCATTTTTCTTGCTTTTACATATAAAATCATTTTATGAAATGCTGAAGCAGAGCTACAACATTGTTTATGATCCAGATAATATTCAATTTTATAAAATTTTCCATTATGCTGGATGTTGAGTTCAGAAATTCTAACCATAGGTATTATAGAAATGGACTGCAGAATCCAGTCTAAGTATTTCAGTCACGTTTCAAAATAAAGAAACTATTTATAAAATAAACAAATTTAATAATACTGCTAGATGATATGAGAGGCTGGAACACCCCTACCCCACCACCACATAGAGACATTTTTTACAAGGTTAAAAAGGTCAGTAGGCTAGTCATTGACAGATGCCCTTTTCTTCTTTCCCTCTTCTCCAGGATAACTTACTCCCAGGTCATCTTTGGAACTCAAAAGAAGGTAGTAGCTCTTCATCCTGTCCCTAGGAAGTCACTCTGTAGCTGAAAGGACTGCAGACAATGGGGGGCTTGGCATTACTACAACCAAGTGGGGGATGACCACGATGCAGTGGATAAAAACACTTTTTTAGCAGCAATGAAATAAAAAGGAACAGAGATGGGTTCTGGCCAAACCTATGATTTAAAAGTCTGTTTAAGAGAAGCTGAATCCAGACGAAGTCTTAGCTGTAACATAAAAAGGGACAGTGGATTAAGGCCTCCCTGGAGCTCAGGAGAAGTCAGAAGAGGGCAGGCTGGCACCAAGTACCATTTCTAAAAGATTCAAGTTAGACATCTGTCCAGTGGTCTGTGTGGCAAACCATACTCTGAGCACTCTTTTCATAGCAGAGGAAGCAGCTGCTGAGGCTCTGTTTCCCTGAAAACTTACAACTGGTATCAACATTTACTGGGCTTCTATAATGGAGGACTTCCAGTGTACAGACAAGGTACTGGCATGGTTTGCTGAGGGCCACAACTTTGGTCCGGGCTGAAAAACACAGATGCTAGGGAAGTAAGATCTCCATCTAGATGCTGGAGAGCACTGGGACGTCAATACCACAGGAGCCTCTGTAGGAAAGTGGCAGGTCAGGTGGTCTAGGCCCCCAGTCATGAGGCTTGCTCCAAAGCACTCTGTTCTTCGTCCTCTGTCTGTAACCAGCTCCAGTCCAGAGCCTGCAAATCAATACGCATGTTAGACATTCTTTCCTTTTCAGGAGGCAACCAATGCAATTTCAAAGTAAGTTTAAAGCCTTCTGTCAGGAACAGTCCTGTTATTGCAGGGCACTCTTGAACTAAGCTACATATTCAAACCATGCAGGATATTTTTGGATCAGCTCAAAGCCCTGTGAAAACTAAAAAGAGAATTTTAGTACTACTAGTAGCTCACAACACTTACATACTCACTATAGGTAAGTAATACTGAGAGTTATCACCTCAACTGTAAGTTTCCAATCTCATAAGAGGAAATGGCCTGATGGGAAACGCTTCTCTCCCGGCAGAGGTCAAGTAGCAGTGAAATGATCAAAATATATATATATAGCACCAGGAGGTGAAGAGAAATAAGAGGTACAGAAAGCTCCCACAAAGGAGGACACTTGAACAAATCAGAGACGACTACAACTGGCAGTAGTGTCCTCTTTGATTTTTCTTGAAGTTAGGGAAGAGTTAGAAAATGATTATATTAGCAGAAAAAGTCTATTTAAACATCTAAGGGAAAGATTTAGGATCCTTGCAGTGATTTCAGTTTTGTCTTAATGTACCTCTCTATCTTGGCTGGGTTTTCCTCATGTAGCTTCCCCATATCAGTACTGCCTACTAAGTGTCTAAGCTAAGTGTCTAAGGTACTGTTTTGTCACCAGAATCCAGCACAGCACCCAACATAGTTGCTTAGCAATAGTAGCCAAGGTGGGGCAGGATCTTCTAGGAATAATGTTGCCTCCTCATCAGGATTCAGTCTTGTAAACATTAAAAAGGATAATGCACACAATGTACTTAGAAACATGCAATAATCAACAGCCATTAATTATTATGAATCACAAAAAAAGTACTAGAAAATCATAAATACATACTGAGACCAAGGCTAATGTTGGGTTGCCTTTTCGTTTTCTCTTTTGCTACAGGAAAAAATGGCATGAAAAGATAGAGTTCCCACAAGCTATTACCATCAAACTCTGGTCCTGCTCCTTCATGGTGTCTTGCATAGCATTTTCTAGCTGGGTGCAGAGAGTATGTGCTTCAGCCACCAGTTCTTCACTAAAGATAATGATCAATTATTAGAAAGGGTCATAAGTATCTTATGAAGCTAATACTTCAGTTGAAAATATGCTAAAGAACCTTTGACACTATTTTTTGAATGACACAACAATTATTTTGATCCTTAATGTCTTAACACCATGTCACTGACTAGTGAGTCCATTCATCTGATTAAGTACTTCGTAGAAGCCCAAATCCAGTCATGAGTATTACTGTTCAAAATGGGAAAAAGTAAATAGATCTGTTTAATTAATAAAGCAAAACAGCCTTTTGACTTACTAGATAGCTATACTGAATTCTTTTCAAATTGCCAAAATCTAAAGGTATCCTCTTAAGTAAATTATTTCCCAGTTTTTGAAATGGAAAAGAAAGAAAGGGTGGGGGAGGGGAGTAAGCAGTCCCCTGGGTTTCTACAGTTCTTTTTTAAAATTTTTTAGTTTTAGGTGGACACAATATCTTTCATTTTATTTCTATGTGGTGCTGAGAATCGAACCTAGTGCCTCACGCATGCTAGGCGAGCACACTACCACTTGAGCCACATCCCTAGCCCTCCACAGTTCTTTTTGATCTGCTGAAATGCATAGTTCTGGGATATTATTTCATTGAATCTGATCTCTCTTTTCTATAGTAAGAAATGCCTGTTTCTTTTCATGAATGGGCTACCATGAGACTCAGGAGATTCTGTCAAACCATTTGTCCTTTTCTGACCTCTGCTTTATGACATGGAGAGACTAGAGAATCTCTGTGTGCTCAGTACAAATTTTCTGAACTTTAAGAATACCACTGGAGGAAAAACACCAAGTATAAGATAATGGTGCCCTGGAATTTACTCTGCCCTGTAAAACTTGGTGGGAAAGAACAAAATCCTGGGTAGGAAGGAACCAGCACATTTGTGCTCAGGCTCATCTACGGGACTTCTAGCTAAGTTAAAGGCTCAGTATCAGCTCAGAAAGTCACATGACCTGTGACCAGATTACAGTCCTCCAGAAGCTCACAAGAGGTAGGGGATATAATGAAGAATCTAAAGTTGTATATGATTAAATACCAAAACTGGCAACAAACTCCCCAAAGACAAGAACAAATTTTTTCAAAACATTTTGATATATAATTTATACACCATAAAGTGTACCTGTTCAAAGTGAACAATTCCATGGCTTTAGTATATTTATAGGGTTGAGCAATCATTACCATGTCTGGTTTTAGAACATTTTTTCACCCCCTAAAAGAAACCTAGTACCCATTATCAATCAGTCCTTTCCTCCTCCCCACTAACCCTAGGCAATCATTACTTTATTTTCTATGCCTACGGTTTTGCCTACAGGAACTGATTTAACCATCTCCAGTACCTAGGGATCAGAACACAGAAGGTGCTAAATAAATGCCTATGGAACTGAACTAGAAAACAAATCCTAAGAAGGGAGCAAGGCATGTGTGGATGCTCAAGGCTTTGAAGGAGGTGGAAAGCAGAGAAAAACAGTGTGCCCAGTGTGTGGGAGGATGACCACAGTGAAGGGCACCTGAAGAATGAGAGCTTGCTCAGTAAGGACAGCAGTTCTCATTCTTCCACATGCAGCAGAATCATCCACACAGCTTTTAAGACACAAGACTCCTAGGCACCACCACTGATTCAGAGCTTTGGTGGAACCCAGGAATCTACTGTTTTAACAAGTACCTGGATGTTATTGCTGCTGCAGGTCTGGATGGGATTTTTTAAGAACTGGGCTAGTGCAAGAAGTTTGTAAGGGATAGTGGATAAGCCCAAGAGCCACAATGAGGTGCTTGCAAGTGCCTGAAAAAGTTCATACCTGATCTAGAATGGAATGTGAAAGGCATTGTTAATGGAATGTGAAACCACTGTTAAAGTAACTACTTGGTCAGAATAGTATTTGTCAATACTTGGCAGCAGGGTTGGGGTTGAAGCTTAGTGGTAGAGCTCTTGTCTATAATGCACAAGGCACTAGGTTCAATTCTCAGCTTTGCATATAAATAAGTAAATAACTAAAAGGCCCATCAACAATTGAAAAAATATATTTAAAAAAAAAAGTCTAGGCAGCAGTAACAGATAGGAAGCAGAAGCAGAAAGCTTTGCTAGGAAAAGGGTTGAAATGTTCTGTTTGGGAATTCCACTGAAGTGGTACAGGAAAAAGGAAGGAAAAGAAGGGATGAATGGGAGTTGAAGAGAGGCCCTGGGAAGAAAAATAGTAACTTGCTAACTCAAAATGTTATGGGCCACCATGAGACTAAGGAGGTTCTGTCAAACTATTTGTCCTTTTCTGACCTCTGCTTTATGACAGATGTAGGTGAATGGGATGGAGGAGGCCAGACAACCCAGGTGTGAAGGGAAGATGGTTTTGAAGAAGAGATGATTGTTAATAGACTATATATAACAATATGTGACTGACTAGAACTGTGTCCTCACTAAACAATTAGTAATCCACCTAGGACAAGGAAACTACTTAGTGAGCAAGTTACAAGGGACTATGCGGGTAAAATATGAATCACCTTTGTCACTGTAGGGCCTTGCATATATAACAAAGAGAAGCATGCACAAAACCAGTAGATGTTTATCAGTGATAAACATAATTTCCATTTCCATGGTCTCCTGATATGTCCTGAATGTGACACTAGGCATTGTTAACTGTGACTTACCTTTTCTTGGCTGACTCAGGTAAGCTGTCAGGGGCAGTGGATGGTTGAGACATCAGCTGACCGGGGTGACTAAGTCGAGAAGCATTCATGCTATCTGGGCTTCCACTGACAGGACCACGGACCTTGCTCTGAAGGACAAAACCCCAAAACAGTCAACAAAGCAAATTCTGCATTCGCACCACAGTACTTCCTCTTGAGACAACTGGCTGCAAGACACCATAACTATTCCTAGAAACTACCAGTCAACATCTCTATCCATGACAACAGCTGGGGATATTGCATTATGCCTCAAAAGTTGAGCTGGGGATACATCTCAATTGGTAGAGTGCTTGCCTTGCCTCGAATGCTCAAGGCCCTGGGTTCAATCCCCAGCACACACACACACACACACACACACACAAAAAAAAGTGTTTCTGTATCAACATATGTGCTTTTTGAAAAAGGACTCTAAATATAGAGAACTTGAACACCTGAATTTGCAGGCTTTATTTAATTTGATTCCTGGAGTACTCTTAAACAAAAGTAAGGTATTTTCACTCTTCCAAGGAGAATGAGACACACAAAAAGAATAAGAAACTGTGTGAACGGCACAATCTGCAGTAGATTTAAGAAGAAAATGCAGCTGTTCTGAATCCCAGGAGCAATGCAGCCACTGCCCTTTCAAGCAGGGGGTCAGCCAGTGGCTCTGGCTCCAGCTCTTTACACCTCTTCATATATGCAGCCTGTGAACATGACGTAGTGTGGACATGATCTATTGTAAACATGACCTACTGTCATCTTCTCTGCACCTCAGGCACATCTATGAGTCTCTGGATACCTCCTCCTTCTACACTCACGATCCCTGCTTCTTACCCTCACTGGAGGCCATCCCTGCTTCTTACCCTCGCTGGAGGCAGCAGTTCTGCAGTCTCTCCCTAGCTGTCAATCTGGAGACCTTTCTAAGCTTATAGTCTTCTCTGGCTAAACATTGAGGTTGTCTTTAACCAGACTTTCAAATATGCTAACTTTTTAATATTTATTTTTTAGTTATAGGTAGACACAATATCTTTATTTTATATTTATGTGGTGCTGAGGATCAAAGCCAGTGCCTCATGCATGCTAGGCAAGCGCTCAACCTCTGAGCCACAATCCCAGTTCCTCAAGTATGTTAGCTTTGCTCTTATCTATCTGTTGTGCCTTCCAGGCTGATCAGCCACCTACTCCTTCATTTCTTCCCTGGGTCTATAATTATGGGTGGCAGATCATTTCTACACAATCTGCTCCTAACATTCTCCTGTTAGCTCCTGTGTACCCACCACTGCATGGCCCCTCATAGTTAGTACTGAGGTTTGACAGAGTGCCAAATCTGGACTCCAGCTGCCACCAGAGTGATTCCCATAAAACCCAAATAGGATCATATAGTTTTCATACTTGCGTTCTTTGATATGAGGGAAGAACAAATCCTGCTATATTTCCTTAGACTTTGAAAACACAGGGTGGCCTACTTGAGCTAACCCTTGACCTTCCCAGATTTCATTCTTGGTGAAACCCTTTCTCCAACACCACTGCAACCTGCTTCTGCCACCCAGAATGCACCACTCTCTTCCAGGCCTCTATGCTTTCAATGAAGCAATCCAACTGTACTGGAATGTCCTTACTGCCATTCCCCCAACTAACTCCTATGTACTCATCAGGAGCCTTTCTTGTCGCTCCCTCACCTCTCAGATGAAAGCTGGCTTTCCTCCCCTGCATTCACACCACTGCTGATGCGTACTATAGCTATAGCTGCTTTTTAGCACTTCTTGCTCTAGATTGTTCTCATTCATGTCCTTGTCCATGGCCTTTGCCAGATTATGAACTCTCCAGGGCAGATGTCCTGCCCTGTCCCCACTGTATCTCCAGTTTTCATCATACTGCTGAGCAAGTAGCACTCAAAGAATGCAGAAGGCAGGTCAAGTTATCACCTGTGCAGACCTCAACTTCTCTCTCCTTCTTGGATCATCTCCTCCTTTTCTCTTTATCATTTTTCTGATAGGAGAAAATGCTGCTCATACCTTCCAAGGCAAATCCATCACAATGCTCCTGATCCTCTTTTTGGGTCTCAGGACCAGATTAATCAACTGTCCCCCACCTCTCTCTGATTAAGGATCTCCTGGTACACTGTTTTCTGCTTGGCCCACAAATATGCTCTATTCTCTAAGACCTTTGAAAAGCACCATCTTTGTATCTTGCTCCCACCATAAGCAACCATCTACCCTTCCTCCTCCCTTTGCTCTTGAAGCTACTTACTAGTAGCTTCTTATATTTGTAAATCAGTAATTCTGCTGGCAGGAATTAGCAACCAAATTGCTCTCTTTCCATTCTTTCCAACCTTTCTGCAGCCTTTCATGATTGGGTTACTCTCCTAGTGGCTCTGGCTTCCATAACCAACTTTTTACCTGGCTCTTCTTTATTTTTAATTATTTTTTTAGATGTAGATGAACACAATGCATTTATTTATTTTAATGTGGTGCTGAAGACCAAACCCAGTGCCTCACATGTGCCAGGCAAGCACTCCACCACTAAGCCACAGCCCCATCCCCACTGGCTCTTCTCTTTTCTCTGGCTTTTAAATTTTTATATTTTCACCCCAAGTGGATTTGATGGAATCACAGTTGCATTAAGATGGTATGCACAGAAAGTCTAGGCCATAATGCTGAGAGCACCACAGACCCAGATGAGGGTTGACAAGGCTGCTTTTAATTCACCTAAAAGATGTGGGTCCAAGTCCTAACGCCTGGAACCTGCAAATGTGACTTTATTTGGAAAAGGGGTCTTTACGGATATAATTAAGGACCCCCAAATGAGATCATTCTGTACTAGCTCAGTGTGATCCAGATAGAGTAACAGGTATCCTTAGAAGGACATCCAGATGGGAGACACTGAGTCATATGAAGACAGATCCCAGAGTGACATGGCCACAGGCCAAGGAATACTTGGAGCCACCAGCAGCTGTAAAAGGCAAGGCAGGTCCCTCCCCTGGAGCTGCTGGAGGGGCCCTGGAACTCTGAGAGAATAATTTCTGTTGTTAGAAGCCACTTGGGTTGTGGTAATTAAGGCAGTCACTAGGATAAATAAAAACTACCAGCACAAGCCTTCCTCTCACCTCCCCACCTAGTCCTCCCTTCCCTGCCCATTCCAGTTCATAGAGATGACAACAGAGCAGTGGCAACTAAGGAGGGCTGCTGGTGACGCTCCCCTAGCAGAATGCTGTCAGTGGCATAGAGGCAGGGAGGTGGCTGGCAGGCCAAGGGCTGACTCACACACGCGATCTTCAAGAGGTTCCAGAGCTCCTTCTGCCGCTTCTCCTGAAGCCGAACGACAGTCTTCTCATCCTCATTCATTAGACTCACCACTTCTTCCACCTTGGGCAACAATTCCAATGCCTTCTGCTTACAAACCACAGTTTTGCTGTGAAGAACAAACGTGAAAAACTCGAGTGGGCTTTGGGCTGGAGCAAGCAGAACATCACCCTTAATAATATAGATCCAACTAGCAGTTGTGGATAGCTTCTTTTGCTGTTAAGATCAGAGTGAGGGAAATGGTCTCACCCATGGCCTTCATGCTGCACTATATTCCATCCTCTAGCAGGTAAGGGGGCTCGTACCTGAGCTGTGTATAAATCATTCGCACTTTCTTTTCAAAACCTTGAATTGCCTGAAGTAGTAACCGTACCATCTCCTGACTGTCACCATCTGTTCGTTGATCTGGGAAAGACAGGGGTAGTAACATAGTTGCTCCAGGTGCCTGGCAGAGTACCAGTGCCTCAAAATGAGATAAAAAGGAGCCAGAGGCCCCCATACCACCTACCTCTCGGTTTTTCTCTTAGTCTCCTATAAAGCTCTCTTGCTTCTTCCTCTCTGAAATATATAGGAAGCTCTGTTTAGATTCAAGACCAAATAGGAACCCTGGAAGTCTTGGTTGCTAATTCCTGCCAGCAGAATTACTGATTTACAAACATAAGAATGATGATATGTCTTTCTGGATTGGAGAAGACTATTATTTCTAGTAATGTCTGTGGTAAGTGAATGATTGCCTTCATCATCCAATTCAAATATCCCCAAGGTATCACTAGAGCAAATCTTAAGAGAAGCAGTATTGGCTCCATCCTTCTGAACTCCTCTTCCACTTGAATTCTACAGTAGTGACTATAGGTGCTATCCCTGGATCTGAGCAAGAAAACATGCTTACCCTTGAAAATTTGAGCCAAGGGCAGACACAAATTCTTACCCCATTCCCCTAACAAAGGTTAGGCAATGTTCTCAAAAGAAGACTCTCATTTGAAAACTAGAGAATAAGGATTAAAGAATTAGAGAAAATATGGAACAAATAATTAAAGTTCTGATGCTAAGATTTTTTCATCTCAAGAATCCTAGTAAAAGCATCAGGAAATACACTGAGCTCAGCCATGGAGTCCTTAATACACTGATCCTGCCTGCCTGCTACCTTCTTGTCAGCACACAGGGGAAAGATGTTATTTCTTCAGGTAGGATGCTCTGCCTGTATGCCTCATACCCTCCTGGAGCCAATGCCAAATACTTAATGAAGACTCAAATGAACCATGTCTAGATCTAAACTCCTAGACTTGCCAGGCTTCTCCCTCCCTGTTTTTCTTCCTGCTCTTTCAGTCACAGCTGAGCCACGGTAGGCAGGATGCGCAGTGATGTCTGATACAATGGTAAAGGATACTTGCATTTTATAGATCTTTATAGATTGCTTCTTATATGCAATTCACGAATGCATCCTCAAAAACTTTGTGAGGTCAGACAGTTTTCCCTGCTATTTAACAGATTTGGAAACTGAAATTCAGAGTGATGGTGATTTCCCCTGGCTCATCTCTGGAACATCTTGACATGATTCACCAGGGGAACATGCTCTGCAGGAGGCTGATTCTACCAAGCCTCCTGAGACGACACTAACACACAGCTAGAAACTTGGGCAGGGGTATCAGTATGGGGGAGCAGAATTGGTCCTCTCCCAGGTGGCACTCACAGGTCATCCAGTGTGCCCCCCTGCTTCCGGCCCATTGGGCTCCTCTGCAAATCCACGATGTCGGTCTGCAGTGCCATCATACGTTCCACCAGATGTTTTACTTCATTCTCCTAATGAAAAAGCTACACTAATATCAACTGATGCAAGAAAAGCATTCTGAAGAACAGGTTTGCTTTGGGTTGCCAGAGGGAGAACCTCTAAACTCAATGGAAACTTTCAAGTGACTGGCTGAAGGAATATGGACTCTGGAGTCAGAATAACCAGAGTTTGGATCTCACATCTACCTCTGTGTGACCCATGACCAGTTATTTAACCCATGAGTTGTAGTGTCCTCTTCCATAAAAAGAATTCTAGTAGGGCCATTTTAGAGATTAAGTAAGATAAAGTATGCACAGTATCTGGCACAAAGAAGATGCCCCATGCACATTACTTTGTCTTCTCTCTACTTGTCCATCCCAATGCCATCATGTGTGTGAAGGCCTGGACTCCTTTACTTCATAGATGATGTATGTGAATGCCAAATAAGGAAATGTCTATATGATATTCACTTCCAAACAAGTTTAAACCCATCAGGACTCGTTTTTAAAAACAGACATCAAGGAACAGAGGTGAAAGTCCTCACCCAAGTGCACAGGGTGGAGATGGTAGGAAAAGCCTTGGAGCCCAGGGTCTTGGATTTATGCAAGGTTTACCGAGTCACATTCCATTGACTCCACAATTGCTGTTTTTTCAGTGGCATCTGATTTAGTGTCCTGAAACTTTCTGCCAAGACCTTTCCTTCCTTATGGATTTCATGGACCAACAAAATCAGGCAGAAACTTTAACAAGAGGGTGTGTTGATCATTCATCTAATTCCCTTCCTAACAACAAGAGGTCTAGGTTTTTCTCCAAGGACATTTGATATTTTGTTCTTTACTTAAATCTGAAACATTGGTGTCTATCTTGAGTCTGCCTACAGTAGAGCTTCTTGTATTGGGTACTCTATCAGTTTATTTCCAACAAGTCTGGTTAAGGAGAAAGGGCGTGGCAAAGAAATTTGAATTCTGACATGAAAGATCAACCAGTGTTTGATGAGAAAGTGGGAAATGGTAGAACAAAGCCTAACTCATATCACAAGAACAGAAACCTAAAATGAGTCTCCTACCCGCCCACACAGCTCCACAGCCTGTTCCATTTCCCTCCAGGCCAGTAGCAGTTTATCTGATGCTGGAAAAACAAAAATTGGGAAGAAAAAAAAATGAAAAACAAAAACAAAAACACCACAAAACCAAAACAGAAGTAAGCAACTTAATTATAAAAGGACAAAAGAAACCTAAGGGAAAAAAATGAATGAATGAATGAAAGGAGAGAAAGAAAGGAAGGAAGGGTTTCTTTACACTCATTGCAGAATACACTCACTGATTCCAAACTCGGTTTGCTCACTATACTTCTCCAGGTCAATCTGAATACTGGTTTTAAAGAAATCCAACTTGGCCTTGAGCTGCTGAGACATAGAGGCCATGGAATTCTTCATCTTGGAGAGGCAGCTGTTATTCCGGAGGAGATTCATCCTGCAGGAACCACAAGAAACAGAACCTTGGAGCATCTTTGGGAGCCAAATACCATTTCTTGTATAATAACAACCCCCCCTCAAACACCTAGGGAGGTCCCTGCTATAATAATAATCATCACTATTATTAAAGAAGCCACTTAAAACCATAAGGACAATTTCCTAGCCCTTAGCAATACCTGGGGTTCTGCACCAAAATTAGAATTATATACAAATGGCCAATAAACTAAACTCTCTTAACTGGGGAAAGCATCTGTAACCCAGCATAATAATCAGGGGAGTTTTTCTAACCCAAATTGCAATGAGCTTCCCTGAGTTCCAAATTCTGTCCACAGTTCAGCCAACTCAACCCTCAGTTTTGCAATTCTGCTGCATATACTGACCACACTCACCTCATCAGGTTGAAAAGGGCTTCCCTCCAGCTAGCCCACCCAACCACTGCCTACCCATCCAAACCAGTGTCTCCCTCTTGTCTCTCAGAAGAGTTGCTTCTGGGTCCCTGCCTTAGCCACCTCTCTTAGAGCCAAAGCCACCAAGGAATTTTAAATAAATTAATTTTTTAAAAAAATGTCTGGCACAATACATGGCAGCTCGCTGTCCCTGCTGTAGCCGGTTACAATCCTCTTTCAGAGTTTGGATGCTATGCCAGACCTGGCCCCACACTTTCCTCAGCTGGAAGAACGAGAGATTCCTTTTGGGCTCTTGAACTGGAAAAAGAGATGAACAATTGTCAGAAAATAACTCTCCTGCAAAGAACCACATCCTGCTTTGAAACATCACTAGTATTTAAAAAATTTTTATAATTATTATACTATTACATAACTTTTTTGGTATTATGCTTGGTTATTATCTTAAATATTTTGTGTAGCCTATTCACAGTGTAAGCATGTACCAGATGGTTAATAAACAGCTACTGATTTGATTTGAAGATACATTTTGTGAACCATTTAAAGGCATGTTCACATGTACAGAGGCCCACATATTTTCAACAGAAACTCTTTTATGTTCACAACATTTAAGGTTCACGAAGTTTTATAAAAACACACATCAGCTAACAGTACTAGAGATAATTAAACTAGCGAGAAGCCTAGAGATCTCTAAGACCTTGGACCGCCAGTCTGTTTATTCTAGGTATATGTATGTTTGTTGGGGAGATGGGAGTAAAATTATTCATTAAACGCTCATGCAATGGAATGTTATACAGCTATTAAAAAACAAAACAGCTCTGTATGTACCAACAGGGGAAAAATCTATATAATAAATTGTTAAGTGAAAAGGGTACTACCAGTGGTGTGTGAGGAAAAGATACCCCTGGGTGGATATCCAAAAATTTGATAGCAGCAGTTTTCCTGGAAGGGGAACTCACAAGCTGGGGAGTTGGAAAGAGAGGCTGGCTTCTTTTTTCATGGTATATTCAATCTTTCATATTTCTTCTTAAAGGTACCATTTACATACATTAGTTACTAAAATATAAATGTAACTTCAAAAATAACTAAAATGGGTAATATGCAGTATTCTGTCCTCTGCTTAAAGCTCTATTATATTGAAATTAACTGATAATCTCCTTGACTTGTTTTGCTTGTGTTACTCCTTTCACATCCTAGGTTAAGAAAGCTGCCCTTAGGACTGGGTAAATGAATTTCCTTTATGTAGCTCCCTTCCCTGGTTCAAGTCTCTCTCTTCTGCCTTCATCCATATATTACAACTGATCTTTTTAAAAAAAAAAAAAAACCAACAAATGATGTTCTTACGGATACAGCTGACACTTTCAGGTTGGGGTCGTGGGGAGATCTGAGTCTCATAGGCAATTTTACTGTTGTCAAAGAGAAAAACAAGATCCATGTCCAGTGTGCGGCCCTCATTTAGCTGCAAAGAGGCAAGAACAGAATGAAATCTTGTGGATCCAACCTTCCCATTTCCCAGCTAATCATGAGAGGTTCTGGATCAACTTCCATTGTTCATCAAGGGCATCATCTTTAGCCCCAGGTACTCAGCAGGTATGATGATTTTCTTCCTGACTCCAGCCTACACTCATCTTTCCTTTTATCCTCATAATTGAGAAACCAGCCTCTACCTCAGAGCAAAGACTGTCCAAGGAAGGGGGCGTGACCCTTGTCCTTGGAAAGACCCACAGAGCACTCCTAGGCACATACCCACCCTGCTGAGTTGTCCATCTACAAATCACATGAGAGATCTTTGGCACCAGGTGTCCCTGACTCAGTCAGGCTAGGTGGGACCCATAGCAACCCCCTAGCAGCCACCAATCAGCATGAGACAGGGAAAATACCTGGGATGCCAGATGACCCTCCCAGTAGTTTATGGTGGTTGATAACATGTTGGGAAACCATGTAGTTCAGCACGAACACCTCTCATGGTTTAAACCAATCAGTTCAAACGAATCCCCCTCTTGTACTAACCAATCATCCTTACCCAACTTGTTCCCGCCAGTGAATGTGCAAATCATGTTTTAGAGTTGTTTTATGATTTTCCTGCGGTGTGTGATGATTTGCTAAGAGATGCTATGATGTATGTAAAGTCCCTGCCTTCCCCAAAGAGTATATAAAACTGCTGCAAACCCAGGGCCTCTCAGCGTCACCAGTTGCTGTGTGCGCGGGGAGGATGGAGCTAGCTCGCAATAAACGCCTCCTTGCTGCTTACATGGATCTTCATCTCTTGTGGTCTTTTGGGGGGGTCCCGAATTCAAGCATAAAAATAACATGAACCTAAACCTCATTTACATTTCATTCTATTTTGTTCTTTGATTAACTTTCCTGTCCAGTTAGAAGTTCACTGTATACTTCCCTATGCAAAGATTATAAGTTAGTTTATAAGCTCTTTATGAGCAAGGACCATGTCTCACATTGAGGTGGTTAACACTGAGGTGCCTAACAGCTCTATACACACAGGTAATCATAAATAGTTTTGGTTACTCAGAAGACTAGAGAATCATTTTGGCAATAAAGGCAAAAGAAAGCAAATCTGGGGGGGGGTTGGGGTTGTGGCTCACTGGTAGAGCGCTTGCCTAGCACATGTGGGGCACTGGGTTCGATCCTCAGCACCACATAAAAATAAATTAAAGGTACTGGGTCCAGCTACAACTAAAAAACAAAATATTTTTTAAAAGAAAGCAAATTTGGTCTGGAAACAAGTCAAGCATGAAGTGGTATGTGTCTCCTAGTAAGCCACACAGGAGATCTCATACCCCAACTTATATAAAAAAAAAAAGCAGGCATGTATATGTAATGCATGATTAACAGTCTATTTGATACAGTCAAGTAGCAATCCAAAAGTGTGATTAGTTTACTAGGAGACGAAGTTAAGGGAAAATAGGGCAATCTTCAGGAAGCAAGGAGCTCACCTTGCCATCTGAAATACACTGAATGGCAGGCTTGTCGGGGATCAACGCCAGACCTGCCTCTTGCAGTAGCTCCTGGTCCTTTTCTGGAATTCCTGTATCTTGCTGGATTCTAGTCTTTAAGTCCTGTAGACTCTCATTCTCTGTCACAGGATAGGTGTGAATGGTGCCAGTGACCATGTTCAAGATATGAACCAGCTACAACACAACTCAGATGTTATATATTAAAAAACAAAACAAAAACAACAGTCTTTATGCAGATCCCCATCTATTTGTAGAGATCTTCCACTTCCCAACATTTCCCAGTCCCACAAAGACAAGACCTAACTTAAAGAAGGGAGGCTGGGTGCTAGGTTTCCACATTCCAGTCTTTAGTATTCCTGTTTGTATGCCATAAGGACTTAGCTGTCAAGGTCAATGAGCTCAGTGTTTGCAAACAGTGAGGACTTAACTGTCAAGGTCAGTGAGCTCAGTTGTCAGCCTCTCTTGTGGAAAGACTGTCAGAGAAACCTAAATTTCCTCCTTCAGCAAGCTGGCCCCTGACCTACTATGTCCTCCAGCAAATCTTTCTTGTCAGAATTGCTATGTCCCACCAGGGGACCCAGCAGTTGCCTCAGGGCTACCTTGCTGGCGCATTTACCTTTAAGTTTAAGATGTCATCCAAGGCCTTGAAGCAGCCATTTGGACCATACTGGGGATCTGTGCCTCTTTGTCGGGCGTGCCACATAAGCATCAGCTGCAGCCACTTCTCCAGTCGTTCTGCCAGTACACTGAGAAAAGCACAGTGTAGAAGAGATACTGCCAGCAGTCTCATGCTGCCTTTATGTGTAAATTTAAAAGTTTGACCCTGCATATGTCTTGTCATTATGCACATGGGTGGCAACCAATAAATGGTTGTTGAAAATGAAATGGACTAATCTGAGAGAGAAAACACTAAGTGCTTCCAACCAATTTAATCATTCATGTGTCATCCCTTCTCTCTTGACCTGCGAACACAGTTCCCCTAAATTAGGGATTTCCAATTCATGGACCAGTACACATTTCCAACTGGCTACCTGTGAATGACCTGTGAACAATGATCTGTGAAGTTTTTAAAATGTACTTTAGGGGGCTGGGGTTGTGGCTCAGTAGTAGAGCGCTTGCCTAGCATGTGTGAGGCACTGAGCTCGATCTTCAGCCCCACATTAAAATAAATAATAAATAAATAAATAAATGATATTGTGTCCATCTATACCTAAAAAAAAAACTTTTTAAAAGAATGCATTTTAGGCCTGGGTGTGGCTTAGTGGCACAGTGCTTGCCTACCATGTATGAGGCTCTGGGTTCCATCTGTAGCACTGGACAGCCAGGGAGGGAGTGGTTTGTAAGTAATCACTAGCCCCCCCGCAACCTAGCCCCCATACTGCTGGATTTAGCATCTGGTAGGTGTCCATGACAAAATTCAAACTCCTTCTCCTGGACCCCCAGCACCTGCTTCCTAGATGCACTCAAGCCCTCCCCTGAGACCCACACAGCTACTCATGGCCTCCCCAAAGTGCCTTTGCTCACCCTAGTCTCCCCTCTGAACTTCTTTCCTCCAACCTTTTCATCTGTTCATAGCGTATACATCCTCCCAGCACATCCAAAATCACCCCACATAACTCTACTGCACACCATACCTCTAAATGCTCAAGGTCATCATTCCCCATGCCTTGTAACTTTCCTTTATATTATGAAACAATTCTGATAACTTAATTAACTGCTGTATTCTGACTGGAATGCCATTCAAACTATAAGGATTTGTTGACTCTTAACACAGCATTAGGACAGATGAGGAGTGCAAAGAGAAATAAGGTACAATCTGCTCCCCTTAAAAGACTTACTATGGAAGTAATTATATTGAGTTCTTCGTGAGCTTTATCTTATATATAATTACAAGAAATGAACAAGAAAGAAAGAGAAAAGATGATTTCGAGGGAGGTGAGGGATGGGACTTCACCCTGTTTAAGATTGAGATAGATTATGTCAAGTTCTTAGTCACAGGGTAGTCTGTTTCAAAGTTATCAGATGTTATCTTGAACTTGTATTTCTTAAAAAAGGAAGATATGTAGTAAATTACCATGGTACCTTACCTGTTAAGATTATTGGGGTAGGGTAACGAGCTTGAAAACTTCACTGCTCCATTCAAGTCTTCACTAACAACAATATCCATCTCACTCTTCTGCCGGACTTTTGAGTGCCTGCAAGTATGCCATTATCATTTCCCTCAAGTTACTCAGTGGCCTCAAGAGCCATTTAACATTTGTAACATCACTTTACAACTATACAGATGACTTGTAACTCCAGATGGATATTTAATCTTTTGGAAAAATGGTTGGTATCCTGGTAGGCTGGTTTCTTCATTTAAGAATGGTTAGTAGTAGGGTAGGGAAGGTGTAGCTCAGTGGTAGAGCATGTACTCCGCATGCATGTGCAAGACCCTATTTCAATACGCAGCACCACATTACAAGAATGGTCAGTACTACCTGAGCGAGTTTTTAAAGGATAGTCTAGTGGTCATTCACCATCTTGTGCCCTGAGTTCTACAGACAGCAGAACTCTCATTCTTGGCTCTTGCTTTTCATTTTCTCTACTTTCCATTCCACCCAATGTAAGTTCTCATGTTTGATACAGGATAAAATTAGGACTTCCAAATCAAGATTACCAAATGCAGGTCACATTTACATGAGATGTGCAATACATGCACATACATATATACTTCCCTTTAAATGTGTATTGCTAAATATCTTTTTCTATGGAGAAATGAACTTTTACATTTCCCAATCTATGGAACCTCTTGGGATATCTGAAGTAGTATTTGAAGGAAAGAAATTTAAAACCAACTGGCTTCAATCCTTCATGGTAACAAGAATACCTTATATTTCAACTTTATAGATAACTATGTAGTTTGTCATTGTTTCCTTAGTTGCTCATGTGGTGATATCATTTTTAGTCCAACACTTAGTGATAAGGAGATGTAGATGAAGTGATCTATCTGAGGTCACACAACTAGAATGGCAGAATTAGGGTCTGAAAATTACTGGTGTAATTTATACTTTGCCTAAATATACAGATACATCTTTTCCTGAAACTCCTCAGAAATTCAAATTAAAATGCTATTGTCCTGAACAATTCAGTGAACTGGCCTATCAGGAGCATGCATGAGATCCAGAATAGCTGGTGTCTGGCAGAGTCTTGGAGTTTCCACATCTGGCAGAAACTATGATAGGTAGAAATCAGAGGCCCTCTCTCTTTCTAATTGAAGTAGGATGGTCCTCCTACAGAAAACTGTCTATCAATAGAAAATTACAAAAGAACACACTAAATGGAAAATTATGTTTTAGGCAGATCCTAAAATATATTTCAAAATTGCTCCTGTTCTGAAATTACTACGGCCACCTGGCCTTCCAGTACTGATGAGGGTAGTTCTAGGAAGAAGATTCTGTAGACAATAGATTTAACTGAGAAGGTGCTAAGCCGTTAGAGATATATTTTCAAAAACGTTTGTTCCTGGACTGGAGATGTGGCTCAAGTGGTAGCGTGCTCGCCTAACAAGCATGAGGCACTGGGTTCGATTCTCAGCACCACATAAATGTAAAATAAAGATATTGTGTCCACCTAAAAAACTAAAAAATAAATATAAAAAATATTGTTCCTGCAGTTCTAATGGACTCTAACTCATCTTGTTATAAATAATGGAAAAGTTCAACATCTAAATTGAAGAAATGCAATAATCCCTTGATTGATTAAAACCACTATAGATACACAAATAATTTCAAACTTTTTTCATGATGGTTACAGTTAAAATGTGACTACAGATATGAAATTCTCTAATATTCCAGAATCTATGCAGCTAAAAAAAAAGTTTTCTCCATAAGTCACCACAGGAGGGCATATTTTGCCACTTTGCCATACTCCTCCAGTGAAGGGACTTCACCTCCGTCCTCTTTACATTACCAGTGTCTGGGATACAAATACAGAATTGACTTGGGTTGCCACCACAAAAAAACCTCTCTTCTAGAACTCATTTCAGAGGTTACACTTTATTCTCATCAATAAATATTCTCATGATGTAAACACTTGTCCTTTGAAAAGTTAATGTCTTTACTACTTCCAAAAAGATATTTAGAAAGATGACAACAGCCAACGGCAATGGTGTGGAGAAAGAGGCAGCTTTGTGTATTCCTGACGGAAGTAAGTATTTAAATAACCTTTTTGGCAAGCAGTGTAATACACATCAAAGCCTTTAAAACGTGCATACTCTTTGATCTGTTAATTCCATTCCTACGAATTTATCATAACTATGAATGTGCAAGGATTTACCTACAAGGATGTTATTCTTGGTTTTATTTTAAGAAGTAAAAATTATAAACCACCCAAGCTTCCAACAACAGAGCACAAGTTAAATAAACTACAATGCAGCCAGACACCCAAAGGAACACCAAACGGACATTCAAACAACATGGAAAAATATAAAGTAGGTTCAATATTAGTTTGAAAAGCAAGGTATATCAGAGTATGTATAATAACCTATTTTTTAAAATTATAAAACACATGCACACACTGAAGATACACAAATGTTCATAGCGGTTATTCCCAGACTGTCTGATTATAGTTGTTTATTTTAAAAAATTGTATCTGTATCTTTCAAAATTACAAAAATAAAACAAAATTTATCTGAAGTAATCAAACTGGGCTCAAGACAAGGATTTTTTTAAGATGTAGATAAATTGGCTTGGAAGGAAACTTTGTTACAGAGTAAAATGCTTGAAAAGCACACAGAGGAAAGTGTTCAAATTATGCCACCAGTGGTGCAGAAAAAGGGGGCAAATGCAAAATTGAACAAATAAATATCAGTCACTTTGGTTGAGAGGTTCTAAAAACATTCTCAGAAGTAAACAAAACCAAGTGGTATCAGGTGCCTGTGGGGAGGGGACCAGGTGGTTGGAGACTGGTATGAGATGACTTTTGAGTACATACTCTTTCATACTTTTGAAGTTTGAACCGTGCTAACTTATTACTGCTTAAAACAAACAAACAAACAAAAAACTTGAAATAAAAACTTTTTGAGAAACAACAGCATTATTTGAATTAGTGTGTGGCTTCCCAAGAAGTAATTTTCAGTGAAAGCTACTTGACTGGGGGGAATGTTAATTTTTAAATCATGTATTTTAGTAATGATTAACCTTTTTTTCTTTTCCCTCCAGCACTTGAAGTTATTTTAACTGATAAGTAAAAAATAATTTCACAGTTAAAGCCACTTTCTTATACTTTTTTAAAAAAATATTTATTTTTTAGTTGTAGTTTGACTCAACATCTTTATTTTTATGTGGTGTTGAGGATCGAACCCAGGGCCTTGCACATGCTAGGTGAGCACTCTACCGCTGAGCCACAACCTCAGCCTGACTTTCTTATACTTTTAAAACAAAAGTTTATATTCAGGCCAAGCATGGTGGTACACACCTTTAGTCTCATTTACTTGGGAGGCTTACACAGGGGAGCACTTGAGCCCAGGAGCTCAGGGTCAGTCTGGCAACATAGTGAGATTTGATCTCTTTAAAAGAAAAAAAATAAAAATGTATATTAAGGTGCACTAAAATTTGTCAACACTAAATTTTCATGTAAATATTTCCTCACATGTAATGTGCAGGTATCCTTTATTTTTTACTAATGTATAGCATTTTAAGTACACACATTCACTTAACAGTGGACAAAGAGGCTGACTTGTTACTGCTGAACACAGAACAAGTAGCACTCACATAGTATTAAATTTAAAGAGGTTTCTTAACAACCACCCATTTTTCTAGATTTGTGGAGTTTGAAATGCCCATATGCTATTTGCTAATGGGCTTTCCTCTCAGAAGATCAAGCACAGACCTCTCAGGCTCAGCTCTGGGGCAACCAGTGAATTGGAGACAAAGTGAAAGAGATGAACAGAGCCAGGGGTAACTCCATCTACTAGGCAGCCTTCCCTGCCCAGGCTCTCACTCACCACTGTACAGGCTGCCAATTAGGGAGGAAAGGCCGGAAGCCTGTGATGCACTCAAAGGCCAAGGTGCCAAAGCTCCAGTAGTCCACAGTTACCGTGTACTTCTGCTGCTCTAGCAGTTCCGGGGCCTGTAACAACACAAGATGAAGCACACCTGAGCTGCTCTCTCTTCTTAGAAGCCACAGCAAAAGGTACAAGCAACTCATCTAATCATGCCCCCCCACAACCCCCATCTCTCCTGGCTCCATCCCAGGGGTTCTAACACATCCACTCAAGGGTGAGGAGGTAACTACCTGAGGATGGTGGTCTAGCTGGTGGTACCTAAGGTTTTCCTGTACATCACACACTCTCATTAAATGCTGAGAGAAGAGCTAAGGAGTCAGGGCCCTGAGGGGTTATATTTGGTAGATCAGAGTAAATCAATTATGCATTTCAATGTGCTTTAATTTCTCCCCTTTAAAAATGAGAGCTGTGCAGATTTTCAAGGGATTATTGAAAAGCTAAGACAATGCAGGGCCCAGTCATGGGTGCTCTGTAGAGATTCGAAGATACAATACATAAAACAAAGGAAAACAATACCAGGTTATGTATACCAAATGAACAATGCATGCATTAAATGCTGACTGAAATCTCCTGAACCAAGTAACATGTGGCCACACAATGGAATGGGATATTTTCAATCAGGCAGGAAGAAGCCAGATGCCTGACATCTGCCAAAGGTGAGAGAGTTAGGGTGATCCAGGAAGGCAACAAAGCCCAGGTGGGGCCAGAACTGGCCTCAGAAGGTTCATTGAATGAGCAGGAGACAGAGGCATTACAGAAAGGACTTTCATGAGCAAGGGAGACAGAACTATGTACAATGTGGGTAGAAATGTGATACAGAAAGGTCAGGGAGTCCAAGCTAGGAGAAGAGATTTGGGGATGGTTGGGTCAATCACTGGTTCTGGTTATAAACAGATGTTTTAACTCACACAGGTGAACAACTGGTCACAGTTGTTAGGATCCCCCTAACTGCTGCTGAGCTGATGACGACTCCTGCAGGTACTCAACAGGACAAATATAAGTACACGTTCTATGGATACAAATGCCCGAATCACAGCTCCCCACGCGTCACCACTAAGAAACCTCTATTCCACTGAGCAGGTGAGAAACGGAGAGAGTTCAGTAGTAGAATTGGTAGGACATGAAAGAAATATTAACACATGCAAAAAGAGAACAAATAGCTTCTTTCTTACTTAAAAAACAGCAAGATATTTAAGCTCCTCTAGCTTTTCAACCTTTTTAATCTAATTATTCTCTACCGCCTCACTGCTACCACCAGCTCTGAATGGGCCTGTGGAAATAGGCTTCTTACTACTTGTCTCTCTTGTTCAGTGCAATCCATTCTCTACACCAAAATGAAAGTAAGTATTTTCAAAGCCTGTTCCTTTTCCAAGGTAAAGCTCTTTAATGTCATTCCAGAGGTTTAGGATATAGTTTAAGACCCTTAACCAGCTAGCAGGCCCTCGATCTGTCGTCCCTCTCCCTCTCCCTCCCCAGCATCAACTTCAGACTCCCTCTTCCTTCTCTAGGTCTCAGTCATGCTCTTAGGTCTTCCAATGTGCTACTCCTTTGGCCCAAATCTCCCCTTCCTCTACCTTTGCCTTTAATCTCCAGCCCTTATCTACTTACTCATCCTCTGGGGCCCAGACTAGGCTAGGTCCTATATACCCCCATGATATCCTACAGTTTTCCTCTGTAGGGCTCAATGCAATGTAACTCTTAGTTACTTGTATATCAAGTTAACACCTACTTTATTGCTAAATTTTAAGCTCCTGGAGAGCAGAGGAATGCTTATTTTCTTTCCCATTTCTACCAGCTCTAAGCATAGCACCTGTCACACAGACTGCACTGGATCGATATTCTGGAATAAATGGAGTAATTCAGAACTCAGGTCACATAAAATAAAGAAGGGTAAGGAAAATACTGAAGGACAGTGAGGTTACAGTTCTGTGTAAAGGCACACTGGCTCAGCCCTTCTGACATCAAAGAAGACTACATCCTTCTGGAAGGCATCTGATAGCAGAATATGCTAACTTGAGCAGATTATGGTTGTGAGCTCATGAGACAATTTCTATATATCTAGGAAACATCCATGAATCTGGCAGGACTTAGGTTCAGGCAGGTAAGGATGGAAAGGAGCCCTACAAACATGAGAGAAACTGATAAGCAAACATGTAAATCCCATTTCTTACCAGGTATTGCAGGGTCCCCACAAAGGAAGTACAAAGACTGCCCTGATCCAGTTCCTTGGCATATCCTAGGTCAATAATTTTGTGTATTAACTGAAAAAAAAATGGAGGAGAAATCTGAGGGTTATCAGAATGTGTTGTTCTTCTACAAAGATTCAGATAATTTGTCATTACAGCAGAGATTATTACAGAATTCCCAGAGAGTATTAAATCCTAGATTCCTAAAGCCAGATACATAGAAGAATGCACTGAATATGGTAGAGAAATCATTCACTGTAAAAATGCTAGGCATATATTCTCCCCCAATCTGCTACCAATCACAAAAAGGCCAAAATTAAATGGTCATGGACCAGCTCTCAAGATTGCTAAACCTGGACTTCTTAATGTCAGAGATCAGGCAAGCTCCTTCTCAGGAAATACTTTAGTTCTCAAATTTTAGAAAAACCAGCAAGAATGAATATGCCCTGGAATGAAAGTGAATCCTGTCATAGGCATGGGGTCAGGTCTAGGATGCTGTCAGAGTTGTACCAGGAGGGATTAGTGAACTGGAGCTGAGCTGCTGTATTCCCTTCATCAGCCCAGTCAACAACAGTATCAAGTCCTGTATGGTGATTACCACCATATCTAAGCAGGGCAGCCATTCAAGAGGGTCACAAGAATTCTGGGGGACTGCAGCCTGGACAAGGCTTGAGATGGCAAATGCCATTTCCAAGCCTCTTTTCTCAGACACACTGATAACCAATTTACAGTTGGTTTCCATTTTAGTATTAAAATTTAAGGCTCTTAAAACAAATGGAAAACAATAAGTCTACTTCCAAGAAGTACTAGCCCCAAAGTTTGGGAGTAGAGGTAGGACAACAAATAGTATTTTCCTTATCAGAATCCTGCAACTTGGGCAATTAACAATGTGAGCCATTTAAACTTGCCTCAATCTGCCAGTAAGAACTGAATTTTGTTTCAAATAAAAAAGTATTGCCAGAGGATCAAAGTGTGACTCAAGGAAATGTGAATATAAACAAACCTACAAAACATGTTCCTTCTCTACCAGGCAGCTTCCCTGAGGCAGCCCTGAGACTTCCTGAGTACAGGAAGGTCACTCACTCTTTGCTCTCCTTGCTGAAGAACGATGTTTTCTGGTTTTAGATCCCGATGGATGATTCTGTTTTCATGAAGGTATCTAAGCGCAGAAGCTGAGGGAGTGGAAAGGGGAGTGAATTTTTATTAAGTTTAAGAAATGCTTTTCATTTTAGAATCTCCTATCCTATATAATGTGCCCCTGAAATGCACTCTATAACTTTTAGTGCACAAACTCACTGTGGCAGGAAGGGGCCTAGGACAGATGCTCCTCAGGTAGGGTGAAGAGAACCTGGCTAGATGAGCAAAACTTATGACTACCGCAAAAATTTAGCTTGTTCATGCAAAAATTCCAAGGGGCTGAAGAGGAGCTCAATGGTAGAGCACTTGACTAGCATGCACAAAGCCTTGGATTCATTCCCCTGCACTTTAAGAAAAAACCAATTCTTTGTGTCTCCTAATCTGTATCATTGGTCTATGTGTCTATTTTGGTGTCAACACCATGCCATTTTTGTTACTATAGCTCTGCAGGATAGTTTATGGTCTGGGATTGTGATGCCTCCTACTTCACTCTTCTTGCTAAGAATTGCTTTGGCTAATCTGGGTATCTTATTTTTCCAAATGAATTTTGTGATTGATTTTTCTATTTCTGTGAGGAATGTCATTGGGATTTTAATTGGAATTGCATTAAATCTTTTGGTAGTATGGCCATTTTGACAATATTAATTCTGCCTTGCACCCATGAGGTCACCAATTATAGTTTAGAGCAGTGATTCTCAAACTGAATTACCTGCTAAATTCTCAGGCTCACCTCAGCATCACAAGTTCTCTAGTTGATAATGACACTGAAATAATCTAAGGGGAACTTCTCTGGTCTTGAGGTATGAAAATGTAAATCTAAATTCTGCAGGGAGGGCAAAAGGTCATTTGGGCAAAGAATACTATGGTCATTAAGACCTAGAGTCTAATGAGGCTGAAGCTGGCTTTAAGAAGATACTGGGAAGCCTGAGAGGAACAGAAAATGAATGCCTTCAACACATTTCGAAAGTTCGGCATGTATTTATAAACTGTGCCTAGTTCTCTGGAAGGTTCTGCAGGGGATAAAACAAAGGACACAGCTCCAAATCTAAGAATTTATGTAGAAAGCGAGCCTACTGAAAACTGCCTATGAGGTCATTTGACACACACAGCCTCTGCTGAGAAGAAGAAATGGGATACTACACAAGGAGGGCCATGGCACAGAGCAACAGAGATCTATCCGTAACTTGGACTCCAAGAAGAAGTGATTTTTACCTGTAAGAGAGGTTTAATCAACTTTAACAGAAGTCCTAGCTAACTAGAGACTAACTAGGGAAGAGAAAAATGGAATGAGTATCGGAAAGAGATAAAATTATCCCTATTTGAGATGATATGATAAGTATGCATAGAAAACTCAAAAGACTAAAAAATGGAAAGAATTTAGTAAGAATCTAGTTGGCTGGAAACAAAACAAGTGTATACAAATCAATAGCTGTCCTCCCTGTTAGCTTATCTAGCTGAAAAGGAGAAAAAAAAATCTCTTTCACATTAGCAACAAAAACAAAAACATCATGGAGTGCAATTAGCAAAAAAGTAGTCTTATGTGAGGAAAACTACATGGTATAAAGATAAAAGCATAAATAACATTAAAAAGTTTTGAAAGTTTATGACAAAGATATTATAAACAAAGTCTAAATACTAGAAATAAAGTGAAAGTCAACAATCAGGGAATGGCTGATTATGGTAGATCCACAGTACAACTGGCAACTCTTTTAAAGTAATTTAAGTTTATAGTTTCTGACTCAGAGGGATGTCAATGATGTACTGCCAAGTGAATGGTATGACCTGTATTTTTTTATGAGAGTAAAAAGTAAAAGCAACAGCAACATTAAGAGAAGTTTAAAAACAAGCCCTCTTTATGCCACCACACACATGCTTAAACACTCCCATGCCCATATAAGCACACACACAAAAACACACATAAACTCTCTTTGGGTCAGACTGAGAATGCAGCCGTGGAGAAGTAGGCAGCCTTGTAGGATAGGTGGCTGGTCCTGTCTATTTGCATCAGGAGGGAGTACTGTGCAGAGAGGAGAAAGCCTCCACAAAAACCAAGTGATCAGCATGCTCTGTGAGGACTTTCACTTGAACATTGCCTAAAAATGCACTTGAAAAGCAAAATGAGAGAGCTCAACAATGGAACTACATTTTATTAGGTGGGTTTTAGCTCAGGACATTAAGCCATACTGCAAAGTTGCTAATTATATACCCTTTTAAATCCCGTCTTTGAACATAGTTTTAACATTTCATACTTGTTCCTGATTTTCTTTTCTTTCATAAGGGACATAGTAACCTGATTGGATTAGGTACAATTACCATCCAAATGAAGTCAAAGTTGTGCTGCTTTCCATGTGCCTGAAGAATTCCACTCTATCTTGGTCTCAACTTTGTTTTCTTATTTTGGCAGTACCAGGGGCAGAACTCAGGGCCTCATGCATGCCAAGCAAGCACTCTATCAATGAGCTACATACTCAGCTCAAATGCATTAATTTCTAAAAGTCAAAACTTCTTACCAACACTTTCATTTTTATTTTGCTATTTTTATTAAAGAAGCAAAGTGAAGTATAATAAAACTCTAATAACCACATCCACAAAACCTTACAGTCAGAGATGGCACTACTATTAAACTTGAACTATCCGCCAGCAGGCACCAAGATCACACAATAACTTAAAATTTTACTGATGGATTCAATAAAATTTTGGTATGTGACAAGCTGTTGAAGAATATCAGGATATAATGTATGTAAAAGTGTGGGTTAGTTTATTCCAAAGCAGACTATGTGAAACTTGAGACTCATGTAATTTGAGGAAGTACATATGCCAGACTAAGACAAAGGCCCTGAAGCCAGAAGTGTAACATTTTAAGGCAAATTACATGGGGTGGGAGCAGGTGAAGTGTTTCAAAAAGTCCCCGATGAGGAGAAAGAGTTCAGATGAGACAACATGTTATTCTCTACACTTCACTCATTAAGTGAAGAGGGATGGCAACTGGGTCTACTGATGACTATTAATAACTGTTTATTTTGATGCTTAAGCAACTGTACATAACAAACTTTAGTTCTCATTTCAGGGTGGTCATTTATTCTCAAATATTTCTGTTCACTTAACAAAGTCTAGAATTAAAGAATCTAACAGGTATAGTTATAGGTAGTTTCTTTACACATTTACACATTGTCTAACTGAAAACAGTAAAAATTCTGACAAGCAAGACCTCTTAAATGGTTTCTCTTGCAGAACAGGTCTTCAAAGAGTTTAGTTTAGTCAGACAGAGTCACATTTTACAAAACAGCCTCTGAAGAGCAGTGTCAAGAAATAAATCAAAATTGTCTAAAGCCAAGAGAACCTTAGTTTAAATTGGATGAAAAATGCAATATTGAGATTTAAGAAAAACAGTGTTGCATCTGGAAGTTTATTAAAAAACAACAACAACAACTCTAAACTCCTGGCAATAGTGATAGTACACATTTATAAAAATTGGGAACTACATCACTCCAATGCATAAAAGCCAAGAGTTAATTTTTCATGTTCTAATAGCAGAAACAAGTTATGAGAAGTGCTTGCTCTGTGTGAACTTTGATGTTATACCTCAGGGGCTGGGGATGTAGCTCTGTGGTACAGCACTTGCCTAGCATGTGTGAGGCTCTGGATCCATTCCCCAGCAACACACACACACACACACACACACACACACACACACACACAACAATTGTTGACTAGACTACACTGTGGCATGTCCTAGAAAGGACACTGCAGAAAGAAGAGTCCCAGTTGAAGAATCTTCTACAAATAACAGCAGCTATTATCCTTATCAGGAATGGCATACAGAGACTTACCCCAGTGCTCCCTTAGCTTATGAGGCAGACACAGACATGTAACTGAAGAATGTGACTATCCTGTGATTCTTACTGATAAAACACAATTCTAAATCACAGCCTGTGTATTTTTTCTGGACAACAACCCAAGTTAGGGAATAGCTGGACTCACTAGACTTCAATGTAGAAAGGAGCTTTAGAAGGGTTGTGTCTATGAATCCCTACTTACCACACCACAAGTTTCAAGAGATAACTAAGCTCACTTCAGAACACCTATTTAAAGTACATTCCACTGGGAAGAAATGGAAAGACAAATGGATCAAAATCTTGACACAGAGATTAAAAGAAAAAAAGTAAAGGTAGACACCAAAATACAAGTTGCCACTAAGAATGGCAATAAGATGCCCATGCACTCAATCAAAATTTATTTTGTCCCTAATATGTGCCAGCCAGTTTGTGTCCCTGGATTTTGCCAACAAAACAGAATGGAAGGCCAACTGTGGACACATGGAGAAAGATTTAGTCTGGCTGGGTTTTCCAGCTAAAAGAGGCTCTATGACTAATCAGCAAGGTAGCAAGGCAGCAACACCAAGCGCTGAGGAAAGTGTAAAATCATTTCCTCAGTCCTTCAACAAGTACTTGTAGTCTCTTGTTAGGAACAAGGGAAGAGGAATCTTGTGAAAGAATCACTGTGTGTGCTATATCAGGTCTAAACCTCTGCCCACAAAGACAGAAAGGCTGAGGGCCCTTGGGGAGGTATACAAACGGAAGCCTAATAAGGGGCAGCATGCACAAAAGTCAGCAGGAGGATAAAAAGTGGATTTTGAGAGTCAAGTATATGGTAGGCTGGCTCTTGAGGGTGGGGAAAATGCTAGATTAAGAAGATTAGCCATTAGCTAATAGTATAATGAAATGTCTTTTCAGAGGCATGATAGATTAGCAAAATGTGGGATAAGGAAGCCAGCAAGAGGTCACGACAGTGATTTACTGTGACACTGAATTAGTGGAGGCAGTAGTAACAGGGAAAACGGAGCAAGAGTAGGGAAAGATTCTAAGAAGAGGCAAGATTAAAAATTGACACTCATGTTGGGAAACTGACAGAAAGATGGGTCTAGTGACACAACAAAGTGGAAGTTGGGAAAGGCTCTGGTTTAAGGAAGAAGTCTAGGACTTCAATTTGGAATCAACTCTAAGAGAAATTCCTGTAGATATGGATATGGACTGAGGATAGAAATCAGATTTTAGAAAAGAAATGGTTAATAAAGATGACCCAAGAACAGCCTGGCAAACAGAATACTAGAAAGCAATGGGCCACTGGTCCATGTGGGGAAGGATGAATGGGATGAAGCAGGAATGAGGAGAAAGTAGGAAGACGAAGCTCCTGGCAAAAGATCATGCAGATGAGTCTGTGGCAAGCTGTCAGGCTGGGACAGCTGAGGGCAACTCAAGGACAGTCTGGGAAAATCATTCTGCAGATCAGCTACCTAAGCAGTGAAATGAAATAGCTGGGGTGTAATGGACCTCAGAGGTCACTTAGAGACTCAAACCCCTCATTTAAAATTGAGGACCCTCAGACCCAGAAAGTCTCCAGCCTTGCCCAAGGTCAAAGAGCTGGTTAAAGCAGAGAAACTCAGGACTGAGAGCCAGCTGTCTTCTCTTTTGTAATTATATTATATTTATTTATTAATCTGGTTATTTTTGCTTTTCAACACACTTTCTATAGAGATGATCTGGGATCAAGTAATCATCTTTTGTTATAATCAACAGTAGAGTCAGACTGATGCATTCAATAGAACAAGCAAGAAAATTCACAGGTAGGAAAACACTAAACAGAGCACCCAGTTTTCTGATTCCTAATGGAGTTCTCTTCCTTCAAGCCATGTGTTCTCCCTGGAACCCTCTCTGCTCTTTACTACTGAAATACGGATGCCATCTAGGAGCAGCTGCCAACAGAAGTGGAGATGGTGATGCAGGGAACGAAGCACAAATAATGTGGGGTGGGATTCCTGAAGACTCGGAGAACAAGATGGTTAGTGTCATAGTTTGGATCTGGAACGTCTCCCAAAGATCCATATGTTAAAGGCTTGGTCTCCAGCCTTTCGCACTATCAGGAGGTGGTGGAACCGTTAAGAAGTGAGGATGAGTGACAGGTCTTCCAGTCACTGGAGGTGTGCTTTCGAAGGGGATAGTGGGACTCCAGACCCTTTTTTCTTCTTCTTTCTCTTTTGCATCCTGGTTGTGAGGTGAGCAGCTTTTTCTAATCTCATGCTCCCCACCATGATGTGCCCCACTTGCCCAAAACAATGGGACCAAACAAACATGGTCTGAATACCTGCAAAACTGAGACAAAATGAATCTTTTCATAAGTTGATTACCTCAGGTATTCATTACAGTAATAGAAAGCTGACTAATATATTCAGTCACCACAGCAAGTCAGCCACCTAGAGAATCAAGGAGACCATTCCTAACGTAAGAACCCAAAAGGCCATGACAATCACACAAAGGGGTCCAGATTGCCCAGCTGGCCTCAGCATGGGCAGGATCCTCCTAACCCCTGGTACAAGGGAGTGCTTGCTGTCTGACCCTCTGTTTTGACTGCTTATCAGTTTCTTCCTCCACTGGTAGAAGGAAACACAGTCCAATGTTTTCCAAAGGATAATGAGCAAGATGTTAATTTACAGTCCACTTGCATTTGACTTCCTTGATCTATTTTAGGATCAAGTTGTGTAGAAGGCCAAATAATTCCTGGCTGCTCCACATCTGCCCCCGCATCTCTTGCCAGTGTAAGGGCAATGGTTAGCAAGCTTGCCCTAGCACTGGAAGTGGCAGGCTCCCATGTGCTTGCCTAATTTCCTCATGTGTATTCTGCAGTATTATCTTGTCAATGTAAAGTTCAGTGGAAAAATTCTACCTATGTCCATTATCTTGATGCTACTCTAGGGAGGGCAGGGGTACAGAAGAAATTAGAAGCAACTAAGCTTAACCCTGAAGAGAAGGCAATAAATCTGGACCTTGCAGACAAGGGTGTGGCTCTGACACTTATCTGAAGTCAACAGGGAAAGGAACAGCAGTGGCAACTCCAACATAGGAAACGTGGGGCCAACACTTGGAACAAACTAGAACAAAATATGCTCAGGAAATGTTTCAAAATACAAAAGAGTTATGTTAGATTAGCTGCTCCAAGTAAAGCTTTTGAACTTTGACTCAGTCATGAGATCGCTGCAAATGAAATAAATCTAATGGGTCCCGTATACAAATCAGAAATGCAAATAAAAATGAATTACAAGTTTATTAGTGTAACCACAAAATCAAGGGATGTGACTGCATCCAAAAGCTGACTGAGATAGGAATGGATCTGGAGAAGGTCAGCCATTTCCAGGAAAAAAAGACTCATGACACAATCACCTGTCAGGTTTGCTGGATCCAAACTCAGGTCACAACCCAAATTAGGATCTGACATTTTTCAAAAAGGGAACCATAAATACAAATCCAGAGTAGGAAAGAAATGAGTAAGCAACAGCTAACTGTACATTCTTCTAGGAAAAGAATGTTGTGCTATGAGCTTTGGGTATACCATCTCATTTTATCCTTATAACAATTCTAATGAAGTTAGTCACATTTGTAATTGATAACTAATAAATCAGACATTCTGAAAAATTAAGTAACACACCCCAGGTCATACTGCTAGTAAGTGGAAGAGCTGGTTTAAGGATAATATGTGGGCATCAGGTTTTTGCAAAACTAAGTTCTTTTTTGTGTTAATTTCCTTTAAGGTTTATTTCATTCATTTGATAAATATTGATAGAGAAGATGATATATACAAAGTATACTCTTCTAGAAGCTGGTGATAAAGCAGTTACTCAGGTTTCTGCCTATAAGAAATTTAATTCAGGACTCAGTGTATAGCTCAATGGTAGAATACATGCTTAGGATGGAACTTGGGTTCCATCCCCAGCACTCCCCACAAAAAGTAGTTTAATTCTAGTGTAGAAGTTCTTCAGAGCCTAAATATTTCCAACTTGGGGTTATAAATAGAAACAAGAGAGAATCAGTGACTTAAAGAATTAAATCCCCTATTTCATGTAGGAGAGCTGAGCTGTACCACATAAGCACTTTAAAGCTCACCTATCCTCATTATTCTGATTCACATATAACTTACATCTGTGTGGGCAAATTGCATAATACAAAAGTTACCACACAAGTTAATGGTAAGAGGATTCAAAATATACCCAGGTGAAAAAAAATCTGCAACCAGTAGAGGTGTTATTAATATCAGTAGATAACTACTTAGGAAAGTAAAATGGCAGAAGACAGATATGGCTACTTGAGCTAATAATTTAAAGACCTTCTAAATAACTACTTGCTAAACATAAATAATCTGGATGAGCAAGCCATGCTGCAAGGAGTCAATAAATCAAGTGAAATCCTTGACCTCTAGATTAGATGGTCTAGGTAAATAGTGAGGGCCCTTCCTGCAGACACACGAAGGTCCACAGACAGAGAAATCAGTGAGGCCAATGGTGACTGCCCAGTCAAGTCAGATAAGACTGATATAATGTCAGCTTGCCCTCCATGTGAACTCCACCCAAAGGGAAAAGACACCACATATAGAGGGAGAAGGATTCAGATTATTGGATCTCAGACTTCATTAATTGATTCCCCACTGTCCCTTCACCCTCTATCCAAAGAAGCAGAGTAAGGGAGGTGGACTCACACTAGCAAGGCCAAGTGACTGATAGAGACCAGAGGCCAGCTCAAGAAGCCAGCTCAAGGGTTGAAGAACACAGCTTCACCAATGTGGCAAAATGCTGATGATGGGTGAATCTAGGAAAGGGTGTGTGAGTTTCACTACACTACTCTTGTAACTTTTCTTTTTTTGACAATTTGCAAGAAAAAAAAAACTTAAACAAATAAAATGTACAGCTTCAAAAGGTTGAGATAAAGGGGGAATGAAAATGAAGTCATATTCAAAAATAGATTCTGATCCTTAGGATCTCAAACTATCAATATGTACTAACAACCTTGGATATTGTTGGATTTTTTTTTTTTTAATTTTAAAAAAAGGACCTGAGAAAGTCTCTGTGGCACTTCTGGTGCCTGTTTTCCTAGGCCAGAGCCAAGGCGTGGGAGACGGCATGTGACCTCTGCAGGCTGAGGTGACTGTTGTCTCCAAAGCCAGCCTAGACTTCTCAGAGAATGCCACAGACACCCTCATCTGAGGACACTGACAGTACCAAACGATTAAACAAGGGTAGTTTTTCCAATGCCAGCGGCTGGCAAAAAACTATCAATGTGGGAGTGGAAAAATTCATTGCCAACGGATGAAATTCATTCAAATGACAACGTATTCCATCCCTTACCATTCCAGGAAAGTAGGGAGTGGAGTTTTTTAATGGGAAAGGAAATCTGTTGCTCTATATGCATCATAATTCACTTCATGACTTAGTCAGGAAGGAAGGGAAATCTATTTGAGTTCAGTGCCTGCCTGACTAGTCCCTGTTGACCTCCCCATTCCACTGGGGCCCCACCATGACCCCATCCAACCCTCTGTCAAAACCAAAGAACTGAAATGTCTCCCCTCTGTGCTCTGCAAGGACTCACAGAGGTACTACATTCTACCTGAAGGCCTCAGCCTGACTTCCAGGGAAGGGATTTACCAATGTCACTCAGCAGGGTGAGGATGGCTCCTTCTCGCAGGCCACAGCAGTTCTCGAATTGGTTCAGGTACTGCCAAGAAGTTGAGAAGCAGTGTCAGTGTGAGTGGTCACAAATTACCAATCAGCCCCACAGTAGCATACCAGTGTCAAAGCCAGGCCCTTGGCTTTGGGGACCTGCTTTTGAGGGAGGCTGAGCAGCAAAGTTGGCAGAATGGTCCAAGGAGGAGCTGGAGGAGGCAACACCCCCAGAGGCTCTCGTGCATACACAGCACTGGCCCTGATGGGGGTGGGGTGGGGTGTCTGAGTCATTCTAAGATGAGGAACTTTTGGTCTCACCTGTTGCTGTAGTCCTGAGGGAAGCAGGCCAGAATTTAAGCTCAGCTCAGCTGGCCAGGCTGGGAAGGCATTCACTGAAAACCACCCTCTGACCACTTCCCTGACATTGCCTTGCCACACGGTGATGACAGCAGGGAAGAGTTAATGTGCACTTACTACATGAGCTCACTAAGGCTTTACCTGCATTATCTCATTGAATCCTCACAGCTTCTGCTTAGGTAAGCACTACTAGAGTTTCCATTTCAGAGATGAGGACACTGAGACTAAAGGATTCCAACATCCATCAGTTCAGGCAGCTATCAGAGGGCAGGGCTAGAAGGCGCAGGCAAGCCACCTGGTGCTTGAGCCTGAGCACTTACCCTTTGCCCAACTGGCCACTTGACTTATCAAGGGGCTCCATGTGTGCTGGAAGTTGGTCTCAAATGAAAACAATGGAGAAAGTAACCTGCCAACTAGGGAGTATGGTCACTAATTAATATTAATATTCCTGAATATTCCAAGGACTATTTACCTATATGGCATACAGTCTTCACTCTTCTGGTTTTTTTTTGTTGTTGTTGTTGTTGTTTTTGTTGTTGTTGTTGTTGTTTGTTTGCTTTGTTTTTTGAGGCAGAATCTTGCTATATTGCCCAGGCTGGTCTGGAACTTCTGAGCTCAGTAATCCTCCTGCCTCAGCCTCTAAATTAGCTAGGACTACAGGTGTGCATCACTATGCCTGGCTGACTTAACTTGTTAAATCAATTCTGACTTTGGCATGGCTGGCCAAGTTTGTTTGTGTCCATGAATGTAGATTTTGAACTTTTTAGAGGAGGGAAAGACAGGCTCTTATTTGGAGAACAAAAGAAATAACAGATGACAAGAACTCTAAGCAACAGTGCCCTCCCCACAGTGCCACACTCCAGGTAACAGCAAGAACTGAGGCCTCTGCCTCACCAGAGATCATCCTGCAACCCAGGGGAGTCATACTGGAATTTTCATCATCTTCTTCCTTCATTGGCTCTTTGTTGCCTAGAAGACCAGTGAAAAATACCCTGCTCCACTTCAAGAGTCCTTGGTAATCTGGCCATAGTCACCTACTGCCCACAGCTGTCTGCTAGGAATTCTCTATTCAATTATAACAACAAGGTTTTATCTCCACACAGCTGCAGTTAGTAACTGGATGATTGTCAAAAGGTTAGAAAAACAGGGTGGAAAAATCAAAGTACTGTCACATCCCCATTTCTCACTGGCCACTCTTGGACCATGCCAGTGACTGTATTCACATCCTGCCAGACAGTTCACCATTCCCAGGGCATGCCCACTTCCCATGGCTGGAGAAAGTTCCTCACATAGATCAACCCTCATGGAAACTTTCCTTTAAAAAAAAAATAAGGCAGAAATGCCCAGAAGAATGAGAATAGCACATGATGTGAGTCTGGGAAACTGCCACATGAATGTGCATCCCTTCCTCTGATCCCCACAAATCATGGACTTTCTAGAGTGAAGAGTTGAGAAGAACTATACTAAGAACAGATCCAAGCTTTTATTTTTCCTAAGAGGCACTTCTCAGTTTCACAGATGAGGAGGAGCTTGTGGTTGGGTTCATAGCAGTGTGACCCCAGCTCAGCTCTTGCACTCCTGAGGCCTGAGATGACCTGACCTCTCTGGTCTATAATATCCATCTGTACCACAGAAATCCTACTTGTGCACAAACATCATAAGGCTGTTGAAAACCATAAACAGGTACCATGTTAAAGCAGGTTGTGTAGTGCTGTTCTATAGAACACATGGAACCGTCCCTGAGATGAGGAAGAGGTGCCAACATCCACCTTCGGGTGTAGGTTCTGGGACAGAGAAGGAAGAAGGCAAAGCCCAGCAGGTGAGTCAGTAGTAGGTCTGGAACCACAACCAAGTGCCCCAATGACTAAGCCAGTACCCTTCCTGATATGCTCTGTGACTCTGTGCAGTGATGTCATATCTGTGGAGAAGAGTCCTCCTCCTAAGATTGGCAGCAACACTGACCCTAAAGGACTGAAGTGGCCCTAACATGCAAGGGAAGAAAAGTTTGTGTTGGAACTCATCCAGTCTCTCCCCATGCTCCAGACCTAATGATGAGTTTTCCTTGTTACTTTAATAATCACGGTGAAGAATGTACAGAAGGCCCTTCCCTGACTGTCTCATAAGGGCTTCTGATTCAGTCTCTTGATTCACACACATACATACATATAACACCAGCCAAAGTGGGCACGGAGAGGGGATTTGAGAAGGACAAAAAGTTCAATGAAATCATCATGGCTCCTTGAGCTTCCTGGTAATGACTTTGGTCAGAGGTCCCCCTTTCTCTCCCTTTCCTGTGTCCCAGCTCTGCCTTGATGAGCTCTGTACCTCACTACCCTCAAAGTCTCACCTTTCGGAGATCTCCTCCTTGGCAGTATTCCATGGCCAGCAGGGGCAAGTCATTGGGTGCCAAGTTCTGCATCCCCTCAGGGACATCACGGGCAGCCACCACATTGGGGTGATTCAGTCTAAGAAGGAGGAGAAAACAATGAGGGCAGAACCTGAGCTTCAGCTCAAATCCATTTCCCCTCTCCATGTATCAACCTTCCAACCAAGACCTGGAGTAACCAAGGGTCCTCAGAAACAAATAGAGGAAGACAAGGACCCAGGAACAAGCAACTTACCTCAGTCACTAGGTCAATTAGCATCCACCCAGCTCTACTTCCAGCACCCTGAACTCAAGCACCCTGTGAGTACATCATGTGTCACTTAATTTTCTTTAGAGGGCCCCATTTCTAGTCCTTACTGTATTACAAAACTGCTTCTAAAAACAGAGAAAACAGAAGGACTTCAAGCTCATTCAAGAGGATGACATGTGCATGCATGTGAGCACACAATCAAGGTGGATACCTGCTCCTTTTCCTTTATTTGAAAGGTTGGCAGAGGGAGCACCTGTTTGCTGTCTTCCAGGCTGACAGTACTACCTCCATGCTTTCCTACCTCAGGGGACAGCATCCACCTGGCAAGTGATAGACCCTGGCTCCACAATGGAGGAATAAATATCAGCAGTAGGCTCACAACAGTAGAGAGTCTCGTGCCACCTTAGAATTGGAAATACAGGGGAAGGAAATTTTTGCTAACAAAGGAAAATTCACCATGATAGCTATTTATTTATTGAGATGGGGTCTTGCTGTGTTGCCTAGGCTGGTTGTGAATTTGTAGGCTCAAGTGATTCTACCACTTCAGCCTCCCAAACAGCTAGGACTACAGGTATGCTTTCATAACCATATAAAGTTATTTAATGTAACAAATAAAACTGGCCACAAGGCCCAAAGTAGTCTTTATATGTTACTTCTCTAGAAGTCTCTAGAAGAGGAGAGTCATTTATTTGGACAGCCTGGCAGGTGTCCCAACAGAGGGAGATATGATTCTCTTTTCAAGATGCAGCAGGCATGGCCATTGCTGCAGATTTCATTTCAGCATCCCATGGCCATGGTAGCAGCTCCCACAGCTCAAAATGCCCAGACCCTCACCTTCTCATGATCTGGATTTCCAGGCACCAGCGGTCTCTGTTCCGTGGGCTGAGCTCCTGCCGGCACTGCTTGATCGCGATCTGCTCACCTGTTTCCTATAGGAAGAGCAGAGTGGGGATAGAAGAATGAACTACCAAATGTGGTTACCTCTTGGGGCTCAGAGACCACACAGTCTCTCAGGGGAGAGTGCTCAAGGTACCCTCTCAATCTGGCTGCTCTCCTCACCACTCCCACTTTTCAGCCTGCCCTTCTCCCACATCACTTCTACATGTAGAATCTACAAACCCTTTAAGACCTTGCTCCATTCCCACCTCCTCTATGGTATCTCTGCTGACCATTCCTGCCCAGATAAACTTCTATTTCTCTCTCCAAACTCTGTTTGGAGACTGCTTCTATAATAGGTTGAACCAGGTGATACTGTTAATATATGACAACTCTGACCTACAAAAATGGCACTCTCATACTGGTTCAACCCAATACTTCATGCCATATTGGGTGTTATCATTGTTTCATGTAAGAGTTTTGTCTATTCAGAGAGAATACAAGCAGAGTATAAGAGATGGGATACAGGCCAGCCCAAATTCCACCTGTCTTTACCACCTATGTGACCTGGGGGTCACTACTTGCTATGACTCAATATCTTCCTTTATAAAATGGAAATAATGATACCCACCTTCCAGGGCTGTCATGAAGATGAGCAGTGTCCTGTCCCTGGGAGATGTTTGAAGACCCTACTAAGAGGACAACTTATCACAATGTAGGTACTCCTTCATTTTAAAACCTCTGAAGTTTGACTCCAACTTGCTTACCCTGACACTCTCCAAAGGTTCAGGCTTCCAAAATTGCAGCTAAATTATACCACCTGTCCTGGTCTGTGCTTTCCACGTCTGTGCTCTTGATCACACAGTACAGGCAATGCTAGCCCCTGACCGAGAAGACCTTGTCTTCCTCTGAATTCTTATAACAGGTAATTCCTTTGCTGCATACATCTATTAATGAGCTATTTTATATAGGGAAATGGGGCTTTTTCTATTTTCTTTGTTAAATTATAGGCTTATCCATGTCTGTGGGCTTTAGCCTCTATACTAGTAACTAGCACAATGTCCTCTACTGTGGTTTCTTAAGTGGAAGAGAGGGCAATCAATATATTTTGTGTGTGTGGGACTAATCAACTGAATGGTTGGTTCCTAAGGATTAGGAATTAATCCTAAGGATTAACTCATCTCTCATCACTGGTGTACCAAAAAGCCAAGCGGGGCACATATGAGTAAGGGCTCTGAGACTGCAGAGCTGGCAGCAGCTGTGGCCTCCACCAGGGGGCCTCCAGGATGGTTAAGGGACAGCAGTGTCTCCAGTTGCAACTCCAGTGGCATCAGACTGGAAGCTAATCCAACTACCAGTGAACAACTGACCTGTGTCAGTGTCCTGTGCATTCTGTGCATCTGCAGCAAAAACCTCCCTCAAAAACCTCACTCTCAGCACACACCTAGAGAGGAGCAATGGCCTTGCAGGATGGTGGAGTAAATGTGACAAAAAGGAAATATTTCAAAACTATACCCAAATTCTACAAATTTTGTGCTTTATAATACACTCTATTTATGTAAAGCTTTATTTCCATGTAAAAAGGGCAAAGAATTGCAAACTATAAAGATCTTCAAAAGCAACTACATCTATATAGATAATACTGTTGGCCCCTTTGAAGGATATCCTGGAGGTCTTGTCAGACCATTTTCCTAAGTTTCTCATTTTATGAAAATGCATACTAAGGAATCCTAAATGTTCTAAGTGTAACATTCATATGGCACTGAAGGGGACTTAAAGACATGCACAGGATTGTGGCAAGTCTCCCAGTGTGCATGTTGCTATCCTGAATTGCATCACAGCCTCACATTTACCAGACTGGCCAAGATCCTCGGCAGGACTAAGAAGCCAAATAATAAGAAAAGGAACCACTCAAATCTCCAAACACAATCAGAAGTTGTCTAATAAAGATCACTAAATCACCAATCAATAAGCCAATTCTAAAACTGGCATTCAAGAACTCAAAGCTTCAGAAATAAGGTGGAAACATCATTTGACCATTACAGCTCCATTGCCAAAGAACAGATATTTACAACACCTCTAGCACTCTTTCAGAAGCTGCTTTTAATAAAGCCCAAAATTGCTTTGCTCAAGCTCTCTGAGCAGTTATATGTCTTTCTATTTTGATTTTTGTTTTTTCAGTACTGGGAATTGAGCCCAGGGCCTCACAAAAAATAGGCAAGTAAGTGCTCTACCACTTAGCTACATCTCCCACACCTACTCTAATTTTTAAACAGTTCTACTGAAATATAATTAATTCAATATGTCAGTCTACAGATTGGAAAATTGTGGTCTTTTGCTAAACACAAACATTGTATCTAACACAGAGACATCACCTGCACAATCCTAAAGCCAAGAAAAGATTTTTTAAATTTTTGAATTAAATTTTATTGGTTCTTTTTAGTTATACATGACAGTAGAATCCATTTGGACATAATTATAAAAGCACAAAATATATCTTGTTCTAATTCAGTTCCCAGTACCTCTTCCTCCCCTCACTCCCTGCTCCCTTCCCTCTATTGATCTTTCTGCCATTTATCCATAGTTTTGTGGGGTTTTTTTTAGTTAATTTATTAGGGACATACATGATGGTGAGTTTCACTGGTTATGTACTCATATATGAACATAGGAAAATTGTGTCAGATTCATTCCACTTCTGTTTCCAACCCCCCTCCCTTCCCTTCATTCCCCTTTGTCTAATCCAAAGTACCTCTATTCCGAGAATAGATTTTTATAATGATGGTTGATATTAAAGACTGAGGATTAGATTCTGCCCTTCAATCTCCAAACTCAAACTAAAAAGAGTGAACTAACAAGTCTTGGAATAACAGCAGAGTTGAAAAATAACTTTCTACTTATGGATAGCTCAGTTTAGCCCTACAGTTGTAGGGGAAATCCTAACTTCCTAGGCCTAGGAATGTCTGCAATAGATATATAAACTTTTCCTAACACAGTGGCCCTCATTGGTTCTAGGTAGTACTCTAAAACATTCCCATTTTTCTGATTAATGATTCATTCAAAACAGAAACCCAAACAGAATGAGTTTGTTACTAAAAATATACCTGCTCTAGAAAGCAAAATTCAATTATATGGTACAGAAACAGACTATGAATACTGGTTTTGAAACCCTGGAGAGTTTATTGTTTCTTAGCAGGGAAACTCTGATAGTAGTCAATGACTTACTGTATTTTGCTTGAACCCATGGAGTCTTAGTTCAGTTCTATGAAGTCCAGACTTGCCCTAAACCATCTCAGTATCAAACTCTCTAGTAAGCGGATTCCTCATGTGGGACAAAATTTAAAATTGGCTGTATTCTGAATAAATAAAAGGGCCAAAAGTATTATCTATATTGAATGTGGTTGATTTTTAAGGCCCTCACAGTTTGCAATTCTTTGTCTTTAATGCATGAAAATATAAAAGTTGACTAATTGGAATAAAAAACAAATAAAAAATAAAAATTGTATATAAATGTGCAATATAAAGTTCAAAAAAGGTAAGGGTGAAGGGAGACACATCCACAGACCTGATGGCCACCAAAAGGTGCTTCAGCAGAAGTGAGCCAGAAGGTCAGTTTTACATAGGAAACAAAAGGGGCTAGCCCAGCTTCCCTAAGCTAGCCCCTTAATGACTCAGGGGAAACTCACAGGAAACCAGAGCTCCATTTAGACCCTTAGCCCAGAAAAGCCATTGCTTGTTTTCATGGCAACCATGAAACCAGGCCACAGTGACAATTAGTAATAATCTCCTCATTCCTTCTCAGACCCTGACTCTCAAGATGAATGTTTTGGAAAGAAGGTGCAAATCTGGGCCCAGAGAGATTATGTGGACAGGACGAAGGCTGGGGAGTCAAAAGGTCCAGAGTCCGGCTGCAGCTTCATCTCTAACTTAACAGATGAGGGAAACATTCTTTCCTCAGCATTGATCAGAGACTGTGATCCTTCAATTGTACTTAAAGCAGAGCAGACACACCTAATGGACACAAGGGACTCCAATCTTATCCACAGGAGCCAGAAACACGGGCTCAGGAGACAAATGTGTAACTCCTTCCTACTTCACCAGGCAAAAATGGTTGAGCCTATTACTTAAGTATCTGGTTACTTATCCATAAGTGATTGTACCTTTTATTCATGACTGTACCCCTTCCAGTGCTGCCAATTAAATGGAACTGTAGCATCTGATCCGTAGTAAGCTTTGGATTAACTATAGCACTATCAGTTCCTTTCTCTGGTCCAATGTAAATGTTGCTCTACTCACTTGAAAGGTCTTCTCTTTTCCTGTCAGGCTATCTACCTCCTTTCAAGATCTTGCTGAAGCTCCATTTCCTCGAAGAAGTCATCCCTTGCCTCTGAGCATTCAAAAGACACAAGTGGATAGAGCATCTAGCACAGCTGGCACATGCCATTTGATAAATGGTAGTCATTATTATTTCCACAATATTTTGTGCTTGTATTTAGACTTACTCAATATATTCCCAAGTACCAATTTTATTACCTCAATTATAAGAACATCAAGGACAGGGTCATCTATTTTTGCTCCTACATCCCTGATGTAGCTTAGACCCGCCCAGTAAATTCATAGTGAACTCACTAATCAAATCAGTCTTCAGGACTTTAAATCACACAGACAAGCAGAAGTGAGCTGTATTATCCAGTGTAGGATAGTGCTATTTCACAGGAAGGATAATTAATATTATTGCCTTCTAATAGCCAGTGCATTACTTCCATCCTCACAAGTATCCCATAGGAACCCAGGGAGTATTCCCAGCCTCTTTTACATCAAAGTATACACAGAATATATTTCAAGCTTCCTGGGATGTTTTCAGATTCTCCCAGAGGGCAGTTGCCCCATATCCTGCTGACTGTGTTGGGGATCCAAAGCTGAGGGAATCAGTATCTCAGAAACCTCATAATGCATATGGGAATTTGTGACCCAAAGCCAAGACTGTGACACTTCAGGGTCAGGATTTGAAGCAATATCTATATGATTATAAGCCACTTTTTTTTCTTGAATGCTTTTTCCCAAAAGGTACAGCAGGTTGAAGTTACTAGAGTTACCGCATTTTCTTTTTCCTTTGAATGCTAAATAGGTCTTACTGGAACTATTGGGCTATCTAAACTACACTGCTAAATGGTTTATACTGAGCATTGGATTGAAGATTTAAGAGCAGACTGACAGCAAGGAACATCAAGGCCCACACTTTGTAGGAAAATCAGTGAAACTGGGAGACCAGGGGTGGGATATTTATTATCCTTCCTCATTGGGATATACTGTTGAATGTCCCTTTTCTGAAACACTTGGGACCAGAATGTTTCAGATTTTGAATTTTTTTTCTGATTTTGAAATATCTGCATATATATATAATGAGATATACTGGGGATAGGTTGCAAATCCACTTGTTTCACATGCACTTCTTCCACATAGCCTCAAGGTAACTTTATACAGTATTTTAAGGGCAGCTGCATTTTATTTATTTATTTTTATGTGGTGCTGAGGATCAAACCTAGGGCCTCCCACGCGTTAGGCGAGTGCTCCACTGCTGAGCCACAACCTCAGTGCATTCAGCTGCATTTTGACTGTGACCTGTTGCAAGACTGGGTATGGAATATTCCACTTGTGGTGTCATATAGGTGCTCAGAATGTTTTAGATCTTGGAGCATTTTGGATTAAGAATACTCAATCTTAATTGCTCAATCTTAACTCTTTGGGGAACTCTTGGTTTAACCAGAAAGATTTACATATTTTGTCCTTCAAAGAGTGTTTCCCCTAATGCTTTAAAATGGTTTGAATTGAGTGTGAAGAATAAAGGAGTACTAGGAATGAAATACTGGGAAGGTCCCAGGGTGTCTCTATTCATGGGCTCTACCTGGAGAAACCATAGTGGTGAAAGTCGGGTATTTGAACAGCTGTATACCTTCCAGCTCCTTTACTTACTAGCCTAGCCTATTTGGGTACATTACTTAACCATACTGTATTTTAGTTTACTCAGCTATAAAAATGACAATAGACAGTAGTACTTCCTGTGAGAGTTATTGTGAAGACTAGAGATAAAGCAGGTGAGAAAAGGCTGGGAGTGTGGGTCAATGGTAGAGCACTCGATTGGCATGCATGAAGCCCTGTGTTCCATCTCCAGTACCACCAAAAAAAAAAAAAAAAAAAGCATGTATGATACCTACCCTAATGCTAGCATATGATGGATTCTCAATAAACAGTGGGCCTGATTAACAGGCATCATTTCTCTGACTATGAGTACCAATTCATAAACCACAAGAGTATTGGAAAATGAACATCGTTAAGCATTATACTTGACTGGAGTTAAATAACCAATACTCATGCTTCAGCTACCCTGTTTAAGAGGCTTTGAATAGAAGCATATCCTACAGAGAGCAGCTCCTCACATTCTGATCTTAGATGGTGATTGAAGGCCTCCCCTGAGCACCCTGAAGCCCCTCAGGGCTTCCCAAACTGAGGAATTACCCACAAGGATGACAGAAAGCTTTCTGGGATGAGCAGGTTCATCAGTGAGCATCACTAAAAGTCTGTTAACATTTGGCTCCTCCCTCTCTCTCAACCCCTTCCACTGTCCCACCACCAAGTTTGGTTCATTTTACCCCTAAAATATCAGTTAAATGTACCCACTTACCATCATCTCCACCACTATCAGTCAGTCCAACCTCTCATTTGGGCTACTCCAAAGACTTCCTAACTGGTCTCTCCACCTTATTACAGTGGTGTTCAACTGTTGGTGGCTTGAAATTAGTCATGCTGGGAGTAAGTAACCCCATCGAAATGGTTGTTAACACTAAAAACCAGAATATTTATTTTTCTTCTTTGTTGTTGCTGTTGTTTGTTTTGTTGTTTTTTTGTTGTTCTGATGACTGACAAAATTTCCCAGCACATTACTGACTGCCTGGATCCCATCCAATGTACCCTTACAGTCAGAATAAGCCTCCAATACCATGGTCCTTCTCCCCCACTTTGGATCAAAGTAAACCTTCTCGGCTTAAATTTCCTATGAATCTCTGCAGGGTCTGACTCTCACCTTCTACCTTTAGCTGCCTACCTGCTGCACACCTTGCTCTCCAAGTTCCTCTTCCAGTCCCACTGGTCTTGCAGTCCCACCCACTTGAAGCACCATTTCCTTGGGGATGCCCCCCTCTGACCTCCTGACTGATCCTACTATGTATAAGGTATCAGTGCATGAGGGGTCTTCAGACTCACTTATAACAATCAGGAATACACATTTATAATTAGTTGATTAACGGCTCTTTGTTTTCTCTTAAAAAGTCTGTTTTAACCACCATTTAAGCCATAACACATATTCAATAAATACTTAAAGATGAACTGAGTGAATGATTTTGTGCACCTAATACATATATAAGATCTTCACTATGCTGAAATCTAAAGAAATCCAGAACTGACCCATCTTGACATGGCACTCCTACACACAGACAAAAAGTCAGTCTATGAGAGGCATGCCAAATGAGTGGAGATAAGGAATTCAATGGAAGAATTAATTCCCAAGGAATGAAGCAGCCTGTGAAAAAGGGTTGATGGAGGTGGCCTACAGTTGCTCCTGGAGGAATAGGCAGAATTTATGTAAAGGAGGAAAGGGAGGCTTGTCCCAGAGACAGGGCTCACAGATTAACCTGTTGGAAGCCAAGGTGCTAGAAGGCAAGGTACACAGGCTGTGGAGGAACCTCAAACAACAAGAATAGGAGTCAGCTTCTGTGGTTTTTTTGTTTTGTTTTGTTTTGTTTTGTTTTGTTTTGTTTTGGAGGCGGTACCAGGGATTGAACTCAGGGGCATTCAACTACTGAGCCACATCCCCAGCCCTATTTTGTATTTTATTTAGAGACAGGGTCTCACTGAGTTGCTTAGTGTCTTGCTGTTTCTGAGGCTGGCTTTGAACTTGCAATCCTTCTATCTCAGCCTCCTGGGACACTGGGATTACAAGTGTGCACCACAGCACCTGACTAGACTTTTTTTTTTCTTTTAAAGAAAGAAAGAAAGAAAGAAGGCTTTTGAAAAGGGTAAGTACTGGGAAGCAGTAATACTAGAGAATACGCACGAGTGTGTATTCTCTCTCTCTCTCTCTCTCTCTCTCTCTCTCTCTCAGGTCCATATCTATAAAGCCAAAAATAAATTCCATCTGGCAAAAGCTTTTCAAGTCCAGAGAGCAGACAGAGGTCATACCGGGCTAGAGATAAGAGACTCAGGGCACATTATGACAGAACTTTTTTTTGAAGGAAACCAGGATATCTCCAGTTAAGCTGACTCTAGAAGTACTAGGCTGTGTAAAAAAAGTAACACAGTCAAGGTTTATGTGACTGCAGAATGATCTGGCTCTTTTGTTTTAATGCTAGCTCCTGGCTATACTGACCAGGACAAATATGAGGTAGTTGTATATCTTTCTTTCTTTTTCTTTTTCCTTTTTTTTGGTACTAGGGATTGAACCCAGAGGCCCTCTACCACCGAGCCACCGCCACCCCCAAAACTCTTTTTATTTTCAGACTAGGCATGAGACTTAGGTCTAAGTTGAAAAGGTTGGCCTTAAGCTGCTGATCCTTCTGCCTCAGTCTCTCTGGTCACTGGGATTACAAGTGAGTGCCACCATGCCAGACTTGAGACAGTTATATTTCTAAGGGCCCCTTATCCATAGGGTTTGCTGAAATCCTAGTTTCCAAGTTGGATGTGTGAATATTATCACCTGTGGAATAATACTCTGCTCTCTAGCTCTGACACCCACATTCCTTGGGGGTCCTTCCACTGGCTCAAAGTTGACAGGACTCAGGGCATGGCCTGGAATGCTTTCCAACTAATGATACAGGAGAGTGACCATCTGTAATGACCTTCTGACATAGCTGGCTAGCAAACTTGATGACCCTCTCACTCACTGCAGCCAGGATCCTGGGAAGTGGTTGGTAGTTTCCTATCCCCTATTGTCACAAAAGATCCTCAATAGCCATTAACTAAAAAACAGTCCTTCAAGGATTTCAGTGGGTCTGATTTGGGGGTCAGGAACTTAATTTCAGTTATTTGGTGAATGAGGATTCCCTAGAGAAATGGTCTCCAAATTGGATATATGTTCTCCAAGTTTTACCCAAGACTGAAATCTAAAAAAAAATGAAAAATAAAATTGAGCTTCTGCACACAGCACTCTTCGCAGATAATTTATTGTGCTATGTCTGACACTGGAGATAACCACAGGAAAGTACACAAGTAGGTGTTCCATGAACAGGAGGTTGGACAAGGGCAGGTTACAGCCCCACTTGGGCAGAATTATTGATTTTATTATGCAATTTTGGTAAAATAAATCTCATACAGTGAACAAGCAGCTTAAAGAGAGTCCTACAGAAAATTTCAGTGCATGTAACATCTGCACAAACACAAATGTGGGAGAACTGACAGTTCTAATGTTAGAAGGACTAAACATAATGAGGATCTTATCATATTCAAAAAGATATAAGCTCAAATAACTAAAAATTATCTGAAATATGGACTTTCATCCATTACCCTCAGTAATATGCCATCCTCATGTTCAAGCAGGTCTGTGTATTTTGTGCTATAAATAATACTGGAGAGACATCACAATTAGCAAATATTTAAAATATTTTAATTTTTAAGATATTAAAAATTTCATTATTCTCATCCTTTCAATTTGTCCATCTTATAACATTTATCAGCATGTTATGGATTAGTGCCTGATATTTGAATATTCTCAGAGACATATAATGTAAAATACGTAAAGGAGGTTAAGCGCTTAATTTTTTTGTACTATTTAAGTAATACAGTTAACAGAGGTTTGAGAGTCAGCTTAGCAGCCCCCTCCCATGGCCCCTTTCTCAGTCTCCCATATGACCACACCAAAGGGGAGGTCTTCTGTCCACTCAGAACAGTGAGAACAGAAGGAAAAAAAAAAAAAAAGAAAGGGGGCCATCTTCCCACTCTCCTCCCCTACCTCTGCTCAGGCTGCAGAAAGCCCCTACCTGATTGTGCCATCGGATGACGTTTCCAAATCCCCCTGTCCCAAGTCGTTCTTTCATTTCCCAGGCCCCACATGTCTGGGTTGGCAAGGAAGGTGACCAGCTCATATTGATGCCCTGCTAATTCTGTAAGCAATTTGGGGTGGAGGACAAAAGTTAAGGTTAAGGTTCAGGTGAAAAAAGTGAGCTCAAGGAGATGGAGAAAGTAATGAGATACTACTGCTTTCCATGTGAGAGAAGAAAAAACTGAATCCGTTTGTAAGTCAGCCAGTGTGTGGGGTTGGTTTGGGGTGGCCAACTTGGGGCTTTCTCGCCTTCCCCCACCTTGTCTTCGAGGAAGCCAGCAGGGAGATGCTGCCCCACACGCTACGACCTAGAAAGGGGATCCCCCACCTGACTCCTGCGAGGGGCGCCTGGACTTGCCCGCCTTCTGCCCAAGGGAGCAGAGACAGAACATTCTGAGCCTCCCCACGGTCACAGGTGTCTTTACAAGTCAATGAATCACGGCTGTCTCCCAAACCACCCACCTGGGGCTGGGGCCATCCTGGCCAGGGCAGAGAGAAACGCTCCCGCGCCCGGAAAACCCCGGTTTTTAAACTCCACAGAAATGTCTTCAAAGCCTGAAGTGAGGGGACAGGAAAACGGGACGGGGGCAAGCCCGCCCCGGGCAGAGGGGACACCAGGTTGTAGGTGGCACCTGGAGCCCCCGGCCCGCCCAAGGGACTCACCTGTCGGCGGGGACGCGGGACAGGGGACAGGCTCCCGGGGGCGGGGGAGACAGGGGCTGGGGTGGCAAAGCTGGGGGCTCTGACACCCCCCTGAAGACATTAAAATGTTGGAATCTTAAACCAGCGACTTCCTCAAACACTTCCTGCTCTGACGTCACGATCACGTGGGCCCTGGCCGGCTCTTAAAGGAACCGCGCGGGGCTGCGGGGCTGCGGGGCAGGCCGCCACGGTGCCAGCGAGCCGAGCAGCACGAGCCTACCCAGCCCCAAGAACCCTGCCCAGGTGACTCCCAGGGCTCAGGGAGAGGGCTTGAAGGTGGCTTCCGGACAGCTCTGGAGGAAATCGGGGAGACTGCTCACTAAGATGAAAGAATGGCCCTAAAATGAACTGATATGCCCGTGTTCTTAGACGAGCGACTTCTACCTGCAGCGGTTTCTGCGACAGGGGCTTGGGGATTTCCTTACCTGGCACTCCTAGGGTGAACTTGACACCGCTTCCTAGGCTTTTAACTAGGTGGAATTTCCCGCGCCCCCGCCCCCCGCTGGGATTGATTTAGGGACTGTTTACAAGAATTGCCTGCCTGTCCTCCCACAGCGCTCCCCTTGTTTGGCAGCTACTTGGCTGGATGTCAAGAATGATAAATAAGAGCGGTACTCCTCAAAGTGACACCCCCTCAAAGAGTCCCAGACAAAGAGAATCGAGTAGTGTTAAACTAACTTGGATTTTCATCTTCAGTAAAGCGGGGGAAATTATGGGAAACTCTCAAGCCTTGAGATTCATGTTCATCACCTACCTACTTAAAATTGTAACAAGGTCTTCTACCATTGAGTTTCTCCGTTCTGTGGCATTGTATTAGCAGTCAAAGGCAGTGTGTGTGTTGGCACATTTTACTCAAGCAGGGAAAACCATATTAAAAGAAACCTGATGATAATACTTGACATTTTCAGAGTGCTTACCTTGTGCCAGGCACTATCCTAAACTCTGTACTTAGATTTCCTTAATCTGCAAGTCAACCCTACAAATAGAAAATATAATATTAATATTATTATCCCCATTTTGCCATTGAGAAAACTGAGGAACAGGAAAAAGTCTTTATCCCAAAGTCACAGAGCTCCTAATTGAGACTGAATCTCAAACCCAAGGAGCTTGCATGTTCTGGGTGCATGTTCTTTAATATTTGGTTGAAAGTAACATGCCAAAAAATTCAGAAGGCAGAAAACTGAAATTTGAATCTACATAATGCTATGGATGACCTCTGATGTTAGGGCAAGTTACTTAGCCACTCCTACATTCTTAAAATAAAATACAGGCATTATTAGGCTGAGTTACATGAAATTGCCTTTTCTTTAAAAAGAGATCAAGACATCAGTAACAAAGATCAGCAATTTCATCTGGTTCAGCCTAATAGCAGCAGTACTGAAGGGCACATAAATTGTAAAAAGAGGCACCAGAAGAGTTGTGAGGAAGAAATGAGGTAATAGTAAAAGCAACACTTGATACAGGGGACTCTCCTGACTGAATAGAGCCCAGGGCTTGAAGTTAATTCATAGGAACATTTCTTAACTCAAAAATATGAGTTGACGGTGCCTAGGGCTGTGCTAGGCTCTTGGACTGCTCTTTTGTTTATTTATTTATTTTCTTCTTTTGTGGTATCTCATACAGGCTAAGCATGTGCTATATCACTAAGCTATAATATTTCTTGATTACCCTATAGTCACATGTGAATTACATACTCAACTTCAAAGTAAGAAGAAATAGGAGTTAATAGACATAAAGCACTTTGGGTAGTGCCTGGCAAAGTCTAGTGCATAGCATTTGTTTAATAAATAACTTTTAGAAATAAAACATATTAACTTAGCACCTATGTGTGCTGGGTACTATGCAGTCTTTTTCCTGTATGATGTCATAAATGGTTTCTCTTTAGTCCTATCATCTCTGAAAATTGGTGTCCCTAAGAAACTTATCAGGACATTTACTAATATGCCAAAGGTTTACTCTACATCACTGAAATTAAAGAGTTCTCATTTTGTTCAGCTCAAAATAGCTTTGTTTTTAGCTGTACGTAAATCGTTCTGATAAAGTCATATATTAATAGGTTTGGGTTTGTTTTTTTTCTTTTAAATAAATGATGTGCCGGGAAGGGGCCTCTGCAACTTATCATGTTCCAAGATATTTATCATGTTAAGCCCTATTTTCCCTCCAGATAAGACCATGTCCAGATCACTGCCTGCATCTTGTCTCTATCTTGCTCTGGTGATGTGAGCAGACTGTTGACAGATATTTTTCAGATGCAGCAGAAAAATGTTCCTTTCTCTTCATGCTTTGAATCTGAGTGTACTATTTAGCTGTGACTAAAGAGTTATCATGAAACACTGAACAGCATGGGACAGCTGTAGGCATCGTTGACCCCCAGGGGACCCCAGCAGTATAATTTGCATCAGAGGCATTCAGAATCTTCCTGGAGTTACTAGACCCACAGACAGCCATCCATTGTGGGGAGATGAGGATCAGGCCATATAAAATTAGTGCTAATTCATTGTGCTACAGAGATAGTACATTATTAGAAATAGGGATAAAGTTTATGAGTATCGTTGATTGTAAAATGAAATCTTGTTCCCTGAGGAAGTCAAAGATAACTATCCTCTTAGCTTTTTTTTTTTTTTTTTTTTTTTTTTTTATCAGTTGGTTAAGCTCTGCTCACTCACCTAATAGCAACCAGGCGAAGCAGCACTGAGCTCCTTTGAGTGAGGAAGATTGTTTTCAGCACCATCTGGGGGCTAAATTGTAGTAGAAGAAGCCAGTCTCAAAGATAGGGATAAAAACAGACCCCTCAGGATGGATTTCCCCAGCCCCCAGAGTCAGCTCTGCTTTAGTGATTTTAGCAATTCTTTTATTATCCTTCCAAGTTGGTTTAATTCTGGACCTGCAGAGAGAGGATTCTGCAAGTCAGGTCTTGCTCCGTCAACAATACTCCTCTGCCAGGAAAGTTGGAAAAACATGTTTAGTTAGAGGACATGAAGAAATCTGCTTTTCTTTGCAGGGAGTTAGCCGGAGGAGGTAGACTGATGGAAACTGATAGTGACAATGAACCTTGTCTCAGATATTTCTAGGCTCAGTGTAGAACTGCAGAAAAGGAAGGAATGAAGAGGCAGCCAACTTGGACTTGAGTAATGGTGAAAACTTTAAGAGGAGCAGAACCAAACAGACCATCCTGTCTCAAACTTTGGATGAAATACTGAAAGCCAAGGATTTGGGGCCCTGAGTCACCCTCTCAGAAGGAATGAAAGCTTGGGGGTGGAAATCACTTTGTAAGCTCTCTTTACTTTTATATACATGTTTTTATTCCAGTAAATTCCAATTAAAGAGGAAGAAGTCACTAAAGGGCAACTTACCATTCCTTGACCTTGGTTGTAGGTATATTTCTTTGCTCATCTCAGTTCTGAGTGTTTCCTTTTGCTCTATGAGAGCAAAGATTTTGTTCACTGTAGTATCTCTAGTTCCTGGTACATATAGGTGCTCAATAAAAAATTGATTGAATTGAATGAATGAGGGAATTGGCAATGAAAAGACAAGTGATTCTATACTCTTACATTTGGTTATACATAATGTCTGGAATCTGAGAGATGTGGATTCTTATCCAGGCTCTGACTTTTCTTGGATTTATAAACTCAAGCAGTTTACTTAACCTCACTAAACCTCAGTTTTCTATAAAATGCAGGCTAATAAAACCTATTATTCATGGTTATATGATAATGTATTAAAAAGTACAGAGTCAGGGCTGGGGATGTGGCTCAAGTGATAGCGCGCTCGCCTGGTATGCGTGCGACCCAGGTTCGATCCTCAGCACCACATACCAACAAAGATGTTGTGTCCGCCGAGAACTGAAAAATAAATATTAAAAATTCTCTCTCTCTCTCTCTCTCTCCTCTTTCACTCTCTCTTTAAAAAAAAAAAGTACAGAGTCAGATACTTATTAAACTCCTTTGAATAGTAGTTATAAATGCTATTGTTATTTGTAAATTATTATTATTTGCAGTGTTGGGGGCAGGGGGGATTAAACCCAGAACCTTGCACACAAAGTACACTACCACTGAGCTATATGTCCAGCCTTTTTTTTTTTAATGCTATAACTTAGAAATCAGCTGAGATCTCTATCCTTTGTAATTCAAATAAAATATACTGAATGCTTCATTCCTTCCCTTTGAAGTACAAGATCTCCTGACTTTTACCCTTCCCCTCCAGGAGCTTGGTTTCAAAAGAGGTACATGATGGCAATGAGGCAGGTGATATGTTTCTTACTTGCTTCCCACTCTGACTTCCTCTTTTTGCTAAATTCCTAACTGCCCTTTCTAAACAGATCCTCCTCCCCACCACAACTTGTTATTTTATCACCGCACTCTATTCTAATCTTTCATAAGATTAGAATTTTAATATTATTTGTTTCTTGTTTATTGCCTGCTTCACCCAATATTGTCAGCTCCCTATATGTCCATTCTATGCCTGATTGTTCAAGCTAATATGCAAGCATTACCTCATGCTGGCCATACACAATAATGACAGCAGCAAACATTTATTGGTCAAAAAAATAGGTGCTTACTCTGATGTGGATAAGTGTCCCCCTAAGGCCCATGTGTTGAAGACTTGGTCCTTAGCCTATGGAGCTCTTAGAAGGTGGTGGAACTAGTAAGTGAGGTCATCAGGGCCATGCCCTTGAAGGGCATATTGGAACCCACCTTTCCTTTTTCTTTTATTGCTTCCTGGCCACCATGAGGTGAGTGGCTTTAGGCTACCACAGGCTCTCTGCCATGATGTTCTGGCTCATCAAACACCCAAAGCAAAAGGGCCATACAACCATGTCCTGAAAACACTAACCAAAATAAACCATTTCCATTATAATAATTGTTTATCTCAGATACCCTGTCACAGTGATGCAAAGATGACTAGTATTGTTCACTATAATTATTTATTAGAAATTTGATCAGTGTATGGAACTTTTAGCCATCCAAGGATCGTGGAACCTTTTTTCTCCTCCCCTCACCCCTCGACCCCACCCCGAGATGTAGAAGTCAGCCCTTTCCCATGATTTAATCTAATGATCATTCATAGAAAGACTTGATATTTGACATTTAGTGTTTGAATTGACCAAGAGTTTGGAGAG